TTGATTGATTGATTGATTGATTGATTGATTGCTGGATTATGATTAAGATTAAGATTAAGATTGGAGGTGGTTGTACCAGGTCGAGTCGACTGAGAGTGATTGAGTGACCCTGTCCTTGATCCAAGGGCGAGCGAAAATATTATCGACTGGAGGCTAGCTAGGTAGGCAGGGAGGCAATGATGGAGAGGTATTGAATGGAATGAATGGAAAATGGTAAGGAAAGAGTAATGATTAGGGATTGCTGTTGTTGTTGTTTGTTGGAGGGTAGTTGGTTGTTTGGTAAAATAAAATGATTGGTGGCCCAGGACCTTGGACATAATCAGTCGAATCTGATGCTCAATGAAGGGTGGTGGATGATTGGCTGGATGAATGGATGGATGGAATGGTGATGGTGATTGCCTGACTGCGAGAGACTCTCCAGAGCGCACTCAGCATATATATGCTCGGCTGTACAGTGAAGCGGTGGAAGAGGTGAAGGCAACAACACAGTGGGTGATGGCGGGATGCGACGACGATCCGTGATTGATTAAATATAACCCTTAAGGTGTGTGTCTGTGTGTGTGTATGTGTGTATGTGTGTATGTCTTTGTTATATCTGTGTGTGAATGATTGATTGTTTGATTGATTATTTGATGATGGAGGCCACAGCAACAAACCATGATCATAATCAGGTCTATGTATGGGCGGTGGTGGTCTGGTTGGAGGATGGGCGCGCGGTCAACAACCAAACAACGACGACGATTGGACACGATGGACACACCCTTTGAGTTGAGTGAGTGAATGTATGAATGAATGAATCGAGGGAGCTTCGAGACAGCTTCAATGTCCATCATCACCTGATCGAACATGTGCTACATCGATATGTGGCAAGGTGTCATTGTGAGAGTGCACGCTTGTTGTATTATTTTGTTTGTGTATGTGCGCCACGCCACAGTCAATCATCCATACATTATTGCTCAACAACAACAACAACATCGCCAGCCAATGGTAATAACAACAATAACATACATATCTCTGTGTGGCGCGCCGCTGAGAAGTTAGAGCTGGACTCCCAGACAAGGTGTGATTTGGAGTGTTGAGTGCGATGGATGATGGAAATTGCGTATCCAGCCGATGACCTGATGACTCGGCCACAGGGAGATGTGTGCGCGAGATGCAAATATCAACTATAATAAAGCTCCCGCAATGGTGGTGAGTGGGCTGAGCCTTGGCCCCGCTGTGGGGCTACCAAGTACCCACGCAAAGTGGTGTCAAAGACTTTGGTGTTGGTTGGTCGGCAGGGTCGTGGTGAGCAAGGATGAATGGATTGATTGATTAATGGATGGATGGATTGATGAGATTGATGGAGGCAAATCATGTTGTGTAAATGTAAATGTAATGTAATGCAACTTTGGTGTCATTCAAGGTTTGGTGGCGGTGGCTGTGATGAGGCAGAGGTACCTTCTTTGGCAATGGTCCTCTAATATCGTTCGTTACATTGATGATGTATGTTGGGTTGGATGGGATGGGGTGGAGAGTTGCCCGCCACGCCATTCAATTCCATGACCATTTAAGGTGTTGATAGTCAATTTCCAAATGTACAAGTGCATAACAATATCGTGTTGTGGACACACATTAAAAATATTATTATCATTAATTCAACGAATAATTGATTATGTGACATCATCATCCAGTTACACTGTTGTGATTGGTAATGTCATGGATGTTCAGGTTACGTACATTAGTGTTTGTGATTGTGATTGTGTTTGTGTTTGTGTTTGTGTTTGCGTTGGGTCGTGCACACGCGAGAGTGTCGTTTGACGAATCCCTGCGCGTCCTTCTGTTTGTTTGTTGTCAAACGTCACACGCGTTTGTGAGGTTATGTCAAAGTCGTGCAGACGAGTTCGTATTCGAAGTTGCCAGTTTCGACCTTTATAATCCCTGCCCTGTTGTTGTTGCTTTTACTATTGTTGTCGTACTCTTGTTTGTTTGGACTCGTTTGGACTAATGCTTATTATGATGTATATTAATATATGTTTGTATGTATAAATATATAACGTTATATAATTATATATAACTTTGTTGATTGATAATATTATGTTTGATTGGATGTGACTGGAATGGATGGATGGTAATTAAGTATCTATCTAACTATCTGCTGACTGACCGACCGACTGACTTATGACAATATGATATTATAATACGTCGTATGGAAGGACGAATTTTCATTTGCTTCCTGAAGGAACGAGTCGTCGTCTGTCTATTGTTGTTGTTTGTTCTGATGATTGATGATTGATCGAGTGTACCCTTCTGGTGGCCTTACAGTGACATCTAACTTGGTAAGTAATTAGAGAGTGTGTGTGTGTGTGTGAGTGAGTGATTGATAGGATGGGATTGGGAGGTTATCAATGACTGGCTGACTGCCTGCTTGACCGACTGACTAAATGACTGACTAATGAATGACTGACTGACTGGTGGATGAGGGAGGGCGTTATGACTTATGTGTGTGTTGGTGTTGGACGTGTGTGTATGTGATGTCTTGATTCGACATCAGCATCTCATTCATTCATACATTCATTCATTTACTCAAAGCACAACAACACACATACAACACACTCACCTTGGGCATTGAGAGTGTCTGGCCGCAATGGATGGACATCAAACAAAACAGCACCTGCATCCGTCCATCCATCAACCAAGTATGCATTGAACACACTACCACTACCACTCACGCAACTCACTCACACATAGTAGGGTGTGGCGATGGCCAATTAGCCGACTTGCTGATGCAACAATCAGCACCCCCTCTCTAAAAGATATTTCAAGACCTGGAATCTCCAGGTCTCTCTCTCTATCCATGTTCGAATGATAGACCAACCGTGACAGGCCTTTGATCAGGCACCAGGCCCATTCCGGTTCAACCGCGCCCCACGCTTCGTTTTAAAAAGGTTAGATCGAGACAGAACTGGGAAAGATGTAGAGCTCTATCCAGCGAACACTCACATACTCTAACACACACACAACGCGAAGAGCTTGCAATAATAGAATCTTTGCAGGCTGTCTGTGCGATGGTTGGGTGCTGTCAAATTTGGGAAGGCATGTAAGGGTATCAGAAGGCTGGAAGAGGGCCTTCTCCCAACACCCAAAACACCGATTTTGACCATTTGTTCAGACGGGTTGCAACCTGTTGGTTAGCCATCAGGCCTTATTTGTACATAATGCCACATTTGAGACCTGGTGGGACTTACTTATCTTTCATGTAATGCTTCGTGTGTTTGTGTGTGAGAGGGGTGTTTGGTAGTGGTGTGGGCCATGATCATCTTTATTATCTGTGGACACGGCGACGAATCTGGCCCAGATCACAACGTACTCTTTTTTGATTTTATTTTTGTTTATTCGGTGGTTGTTGTATTTACAAGCATTGTAGTGCCTCTTAGTAACTTACTTACTTGTACATCCTCCAACTGACTGACTGTTCTCGAGTCTTCTGAAACAGCTGATGCTGCCCAATATGACATGATCACATTTACAATTTCATTCATTCGTTTCAAAATATCCATTTCGGATGAGGCAAATGAATGATCCATCTGTATCGTTGTTGATGGATGAAAAGAAATATAACTCATTAGATTTGGACCGAGACCCACCTAAAACACCGATGGAATAAATGTGACATCCATCCATCAAATCAATCCATCAACAAACATTCGAATTCATGTTGTTGATTTGCCAATGAGTCGAGTTGTCAAAGTGCTGAAGACAGACACCCACACGACGACCATAACCAAGACCATGACCATGACCTCACATCTCCACATCCGGATGTGGGCATGTGCTTTGACCCATTACCATCAGATCATTGCAGATGTATGTGTTTGTAAGTTAGAGTAATGCGCATCAGTCAATGGATCATGGGTTTATCCCCAACCGAACCATCCTTTTGCTCAAGCTTTGACGAAAATAGCCATCAATTCTTCCGAGCTTGACTACACAGTCATTCAGTCGGTCAGCCAGCCAAAGAGTAACTCACTACATTCGTGTGAAGACCATGATCGGGCGGCTCAGATGACGTGTACTTGTACGAGTTGGTGCCAGTCAGTTGTTATCCAGTTATCTCTTGGTGCCCAACCATTCAGTCAATCAATCAGATACTTATTATCCAAACTCGCCATTGATAGCGATGGATAAACGTTCTTTCCCAGGCCTAGGAACGGCCAAAGTGTCATTCAAACATTATCTGTATGATTATTCATTGTTGGTTGGCGCATTGATTGTGTTGTTTCGTTCGTTCGTTCGATCGATCATTCGAGTGAAGTTTGGTAGTAGTAGTTTGTTGTTGTTGATTATCTCTGTTACTGCAGGTCAGCCATCATAGTGTACTTGATCTTGTCCTTCTCTTTCTGCTCCAGGATCTCCTTGGCAGTGACGGTGTACTGTGGATTCTTGAGGATGAACTCGGTGGTCTGTGGACGCTTGGCAATGCGTGTGAGCACGTGGCACTTTCTCTTTGACAGTGGACGGCAGGGTGTGAAGTTGACAAAGTCGCCGACGAGTGCCTGGTCCTCTGGGTCGTGGATCATATACTTGGTCTTCTGCTTGGCCACTGCGGCGTACTTTTGACGATCAAAGAACACCTTGACCACCTCAACCATAGCTGTCTTGGTGTGTGTCTTTGAGATAACTGTACCTCTGAGGACCTTCTGTCCTCGGCCAAGCAAGTCCATTACTTTAGATATCATCTTATATTATATATATATATTTATATTGCCGCTGTTGTTGAAGCTGCTGCTTTTGTGGTGTATGTCGCTGTCTAGACCGTTGATTGATCAATGCATGATGTTAGTTTGATTGAACGATTATTATCATCATCAATCCATCGTGATTATCATTCATTGATTCATTCGTTCATTCAATCATCATTCATCATTCATCATTCATTGATTCATTCATTCATTGACAACTATAATGGTCCAACATCTGAGTTGGTCTTGTTCTCCATGATGATCGTGATGTTGGGAATTGTCATAACTCTATATGACATCGTCTGATCTATGCTTGCTAATGATCAATCGATTGATTAACTGAAGTGATCAATCACTGTTCACAATGAAATGCATGCATGCTCCAGAAGTTGATGACCATCATGAACTGACTGATTGTCTGAGTATAGTGAATTCAAACCTACCTATTATCGATTGATTGATTGATTGATGATTACAACCGGGTGTTATCTATCTTATCAATATCTGCTGAACTGCTTCTGATGCTGCTTATATTATTATATGTATGTACAATGGTTGACGACGATCATAGTATCATTCATTCATTCGAATATTCATCATCACTCTTGGGAAGTCTCGCTTCTTTCGTTTCAAACACACAAAGTCTTGTTTTTTTTCATTTGTTTGAACTTTGGAGATGTTTGTTCATTTTAATAACAACATCTTGTTATAATACAAGTACAATGACATGAGTGAAGTGAGCAATGCGATGAACAACACATTAATAGATGATGATGTCAACAATAATGGCAACAACAACAATTATATGACAGATGAGCAGACTGAAAAGTTAAACTTTCTCGAGAGGATAAGATCAAAGGAGAGGGATATTGCCAAGGTCAAGTCGTCGATCTATCATGAGAACGATACGTTGAAGACTCAAGACCTACTCTTGGACGAGTTGCTCAAGGAGCGCAATGCATTGGTACAAGAGCACAAGTATCACGAGGCAATCATCAATGACATTCAATCTGATATCAAACATGTAAGTCTGGTCAAAAGACATGACCTGACAATGTTGCTAACATATACATCCATTAATTAGATTGATAGGTTGATCAAAGAAAGAAATGCTGAAAAGACTAGGATACAGAAGGGTATTAATAATTTACATGATACACAGTTCAGTCCTTTGAAGGATTCGCTGGACGAGATGAGAAGATCGGTTGGTTTGCCACCTTTACCATCATTCGACTCAGAGAGGACAAGATACCAGACAGAGTATTTGACACAGCGACTCACTGAGGAGATTGAATATGCCGCGCCAACTGGCAAGCAGGGGTCGTCTTCTGGTACCAAGCGCAGGCGTTGACGTTGTGAGCACGGTCATTCAATCGTTCATGGTTTCCAACACTGTTTATTGAACAATCAAACGACTTGGAGCAGCAATATATGAACGATCATATTTATGATTAAAGTAGTCAATCAATCAATCAATTAATCAATTGCCAAGAAGCCAATGGTAACATCATTTGGTCCGTCTTCATAGTATCCATAATGGTGACTGTGGACCAATCTGAAGATGGCAACTTTCTGGTCCAGTGGACGTAGACTGACATTTTTAATACCATGACCAACGACCAGTTGTCGTAGATGGTATGTATCCGCATAGTCTGGGTATTCAGCTAGAAATGATTTGGCTTCATTCATGAGAAGTTTTGTTTCGGCGCCTACAATTACATTGAGTTTCTTGTGATTGATGGTCAGAGTCCATAGCCTGGAGATGAGTGCTGGACCAATGTTTAAGCAGTTCTTCTTTAACCATGGTCCCAAATCATGTACGAATGACGATCTGAGTGTGATGGTCAGGTGTTTTAAGGTCGACGGCAACGACTTTGGTTCCAATTCACATCCATAGGTCATAGAGAGTTTGGTAAGTGATTGAGGAAGAGTGCCTGGTGCAATTGGTATGCATTGCCAAAATAGAGAGGACATGTTCCCGCCAAACTTGAGATTGGTGATTGATTTCGGGAGTACACCAGGCAATATCTGTTTTTTGTACAAGTGAGGCAACAACAAAGTCCTAAGTGATTGAGGAAGGACACCCTCTATGAAACCAGCTTGGAAACTACCATGAATCTGGAGATGAGTGAGCGAATTGGGTAAACATCCAAGTTGAAAGTACTCCATATAATGATGACCTAATATCAAACTGGTCAATGAGTTTGGAAGCACTCCATTTGGAAAATATTGATTATACTGTCTTCCAAAAGAGAGTGATGTAAGGCCATCAGGAAGTATTCGTTCTTTAATTATTTTATTGTAAGTATCTCCAAATGACAAGTATCGCAGGCTTCTAGGCAGGTCATTTGGAAATATTTCTTGATTAAAATTACCTTGAACAGATAAAGACGTTAGAGTAGATGGAAATATATTAAATCTAAAGTTCAAATAATTATTTTCAAAATTTATCTCTAGTTTTGTAATATTATCTTGAAGATTATATTGAGGATGACTATTGTTTAATATTATAGATAAAGAATCATTATTATTATTATTCTTAATACTGTTCTCATTATTCTTGTTAATTGTATGTAGGGCAAAATCTAGAGATGGTTGAACTTTCTTTAATATTGTATAGAATGATGTACAGGTTCTTCCTAAACATATTATATTCATATGATCATTATAATTATCTAACAACTCAAATATATATCTCTTAATTATTACAGGTAATAACTCCATTTTTTTAAAATTATAATAACAAGTGTAAACATATTTTTCTATTAATAATACTGTAGTAGATTTGGTTTCATTAATTCAAGATGAACCTTTTAATTCCAAAGGTAGATATTGTTCACCTTGAACAATGGATATGTCACACTCTTACCAAGCATTGGGTTAATAATACACACTGATGACTTCCCTGCTCTTTATTATTTTAGTTGTTGTAATAGTCTGTGGCACATATCTATAATCTTGAGGTGTCCTTCATTGCAAGAATGATAAATAATAGTGTTGAGCAGTTGAACCATTCCAAGAGTCGAGTCTGATCTGTTGAGAAGTGATAATAAATCACTATTCTCGAATAAATAACTAAGCAACTTGTGATGGTTGAAACTGGATGCTTGTTGCATACTATCAAATGAGGGGATATACCTGCGAAGCTGTGTTGGGGTTGTACAGCGCTGATGTATCAGGCGGATGAAGTCCAAGTTACCATCAATGCAAGCCATGTCCACCAATTGTACAAGTGCATTGTTAGGCCCAGTGTCATCGTCACCGACATCAATGTATCCATTGTCCAGAAGATATTCAATGATTGTTGTATTGCATTTCTCCAAAGTGATTATGTTGCCAAGACTAAACTTCTTTTCCTCCTCTTTGAAGGCAATCTCAGCGAGTTTGAGAAGATATCCAATCGATTCAATATCGCATCGTTCCACGCTGTTGTCAATCCACTCTCTGAAGTTGTTGCTTCCCAATACAATGTCCTTGGTGAAGTTGTTTTGAACAAACTTGAACAGGGATAAAGATATTGATGATGCCACATCTAGCATTTTTGTGATGGTCGTCTTTGTCAAGTGCGGACGAACAAGCTCGATAAACTCTTTCTCGCTCAGCTTGCAGCCTGGAGCTGCCATGTGTTCCAACAATGTGCACATATGATTTCTTGAGAGATTTGCTTTTTGTTTGGGCCCTTTGATGATCCTTCTGATGGTATCCAAGTCAAAAATAGCAACTGCGTTGTTGAGAGCATCCTCATGGTTTATGAAGGTGAAATTCAAAAGGTCTATGACAGTCTTGTCGCCAGCCTGTACCGCGCTGCTGAGTACCATTTCAAACCCACAATCAAGGTTGGAGTGTGCCATTAGTCGTTTGAGCAAGTCAACTGAAAGGATGCTGTGGTGGATGGTGCTGATTGAACATCGTTTGTTCTGGTCCTTGGGGATGACATTGAGAATGAAGTTGACCACATCCAGGTGACCTCTTGATAGTGCATAGCCGATTGAGTCCAATGCATGTGTTGCGCCACTGGACTTGATCATGGAGTGAATCTTCTTAACAATCTCCAAATGTCCATACTTGGTTGCACATTTGAAGCAATCACCCAAGTCAATCGCCGGTCCCATTGCCCCAGGCAATGTGACAAGGGGAAGCATCAGGTCCATACACGCCACTTGTCCATGCTGGCAACAATGTTCGATCAGTGATTGAGATTCCAAAGTAATTGAGTTAATGTCATCCAAAGACAGCAACTCAGTGACAAGACCTGTATCGATAAAGTGCTTGACGATCAATATTAGGTTGAGTTCGATTGCCTTGAGAAGAAGGGCAGCCTGGCAATCAGGGCGCAGTAGATCATGTTTGAGAAGCTCCTGGAGCATCTCGACAGCCCACGGCTTGGTGAGCCATCCCTTGGACATGCGCTCGACGCTGTTGTTCTGATCGTAGATTTGCGTGAGTGTGGCGCCAGACTGGATGAGCCTGCGAAGGAAGGACGGATGTCGGATGATGGCAAGGACATCTTTGTCAGGCTCGGGACAAGCGGCTTGACAAGTGATCTTGAGGTACTGATCCAACAATCTCTCCCAATCCGGATGAGTACATTCCGACACATTCCAGACGAAGCTGAGTGAGGCTGAGTGTCCATCCAGCGTCATGTTGGGATTGGCCAGCAGAACATCGACGGCTCGGGCGTTGCATTTTGTAAAGGCTTCCTCCAACAATGATGTGTTGTTGTGGACGATGTTTGCGAATGACGAGTCGGTGTATGATTTGAGGAACCATTCCGTGGCATCAAACTTGAGGTAATCTTCCAAACAATGATTGTCGAGTAGCTTTGCACCCTTGATAATGTACTCTGGATCAATACCAAGTGACCTATGCACAATACCAATCTGATCCATGATCTTCTTTCCAAGCTTATTATCACCAATCACTGAACGGAATGCTGTCTCCATCCCTGGGTGACATGTCGCCAACCTCGTGTCGGACTTGAGTATGGTATCCTGTTGTCTTCTGGAGTGATTGAGTTGATGGAGTTAGTGAATGAATGATTGTGATTGATATGGATGACTTACGATTGTTGATTGATCGAGTTGATATGATCAGTGCACAGCTTGATCACATGAGTGGCACCAATGTGATAGGCAACATCTCGTATGGAGTGAAAGGTTCGCAATTGATCGCGTGGTAGGGAGTTGATGGCGAACGTGTCTGAGTTGAAGTAGAACTCGAGTGAATGATAGGCATTGTTCTCGGCCATCTCGTGCAGTGTTTGGAGAATTGGTTTGGGGGCGGGCACTGGCTTGCCAGACGAGATGAATCGTTGCTGAAGTATCTTGATTGCTTGAGGACTATCATGGGTTAGTGCCCGATCAAACACTGCCTTTACAATCGACTTGTCCAGCTTCTCCAGCTTGAACATATTGACAATGTGCTCAAAGACCATCGGGTTGGGATTGATCGCAGCCCACTCACATATCTTGGGGTCTCGTCTAACAAGGTCCAAGTTGTCCAGCATCAGGATGATGTCATCCAACGATCCCTTGTGGATCAGATGGTGTGCTCCATTCTTGATATCCACCAAATTGTCAAAGTCCCCAGGATCGACTATGTGTTGGAAGAGCAAGGCCATCGTCTCTCTGCACTGATTCCTCATCGACTGTATAATGAATTCTGCATCGTATCTAACACCAAGATGCTTGTTCAGCAACTGCATCACTTGGGCAGAATACCCTGCCGCGCACCTCATCGCGCGGTGGCCAAACTTGGGTCGATTGTGATCGCAATTAACAATGAACTGACAGACTATCTCTGCGGTGATGTTGCTGCCCGGCTTGCCGACCGCCTTGACCATGTTGAGGACAGAGCTGCCAAAGAACTTTGGCCTCCTTGCCGTGCGTCCACTTGTGATAAACCTTGCCATCGACTCTGACATTCGTCTACAGGTCTTTGTATCCAACTCCACATTCATGCCGTCACTATTGATGAGTGACTCTAGATTCACCCAGTCATTATTGCGTATGACGGCCAACTGTGACATGAACGGCTTGGCCTCGGGCAGCTCCTCCCCCTCATTGGGTCGGAAATGTTTGACGAAAGCCTCGTGACCAGCATCTTTGGCCACACTTAAAATGTCGCCAAAGTCATCGCGTCTCCAAGGGTTCAATGACTCATCGGTGAATATCGCTGACTCTGTCAATAGTTTGAAGATTTCGACGCTGCCGTTAAGTGCGCAACGTATCCTGCACTCGGCCAAACCATCCCATTCAAGATTGACTGTCGTTGGCATATTGTCCACGATGTACTGCACACTTGATAGCATGTTGCACTTGGTCGATCGATACAAGCAAGCATTCCATATAATGTCGAAAGTAAACAGACAGTTGAACTCCTCGTGCAGCACTTTGAGCATGGCAACACTGACACCTCGTCTCAGCTTGATCACTCCAAAGAATAGTTGATCGATGGTTTCGCGGCAGTCGTTGCCGTCGTCATCCTTGAACGGGATGTGTTGGAGCAACAGACGCACAAACTCCACATTTCCAGAGTCGACGGCCAGATGGAGGTGGGACAGCGTGTCAATGGGGAGCATGCGATTGTTTGTGGCGGTGAGGTATGTCTGGAGCATCTCGATGTTGCCATGTGTCAATATGCTCCTGGGCAATGACTTGAAGTCAAGTGGCATGTTGGGATGTTTACACAGATGTCTGAACACCAGTATATTGTCACGATGTAATGCCTGATCGATTAAAGTATGATTGATAGGGTATCCTTTGGCCACACTATCAAACGTCCTAATGAACATCTCTGTTGCATTGTATTGCAACATCATAAGTAGATCACCACTATCATAGAGTTCTCCACCCTTTATAGTTGACTTGACTTGAATGGGTATTGGTATCTCTGAGTCTATTATGTCTGTACTTGAAATTGAGTTTGAGATTGAGATTGAGACTGAAGACCATCTCTTATGTATCTGAGTAACATGTTCAAAGATCAACTTGCACAATAAGTGATTGTGGAATACTTCATTTATACAACTAGTATTATTATTATTACTTTTTATTATTGTGTCCATGTGTTTATTTGTAAGTTATTAATATTATTACATTATTATATGTATGATTGATTAAATTAATAAAATGGAATGAAGGGGGATCTTGGGAACCATGACTTCAAAAGATATTTCAAACACTGTGAAGATCACACTCATTCTCACATTCAATCCATGTTAATCTACAAATAATTATAATTATTTATTTATGTATGTATGTGTACAAACGTCACTCAATCAACATTTCTCATATCAATCAATCAGTCCCTGATCACTCAAAACACCCTCCAATCTTTCAATCAAACATATAATAAATATCAATCAATAATATTAACTAACTAACTATTTATTTAAATATATAATGTCAACAACAAATAATAACTCTTTAGTATTTTATATTACAGGCGCTTCAAAGGGTTTGGGCAAAGTGTTCACTCAGAGATTGTTGGAGAAGGGACATAGAGTGGTCGCAACATCAAGGGACACCGATCAACTAAAGTCTGCAATCGCCAACAACTCTGACAGTTTCTTGCCTCTCAAGGTCGACCTGGCCACCGAGAAGTCTGTTGCCGACTCATTGGCCGCAGCAACTGCAAAGTTTGGCCGCATCGACGTCGTGATCAACAATGCCGGCTACAGCATCGGCGGCACGGTCGAGGAGATGAGCGACAGCGAGCTGCGCCAGAACTTTGACATCAACTTCTTTGGCATGGTCAACGTAATGAGACATGTCGCGCCAGTACTGCGCAAGCAAGCCAGTGGCTTTGTGCTCAACATCTCCTCGATCGGTGGCTTTGTCGGCAACTACCCTTCGTTCGCTGCTTATTGCGCCACCAAGTTTGCAGTTGACGGCATGACCGAGGGATTTGCTGCAGAGATGCAGCCATTTGGAGTGCGCGTGACCACTATCAACCCGGGATACTTCCGCACCGAGTTCCTCAACTCAACATCATTCATGTCCACCAAGACCAAGATTGATGCCTATGCCGCCGCGCACAAGTTTGAAGAGGATCACCGCACTCAGGTCAATGGCACTCAGCAGGGCGACCCATCCAAGATGCTGGACGTCATCCTTGACCTTGTACAGAACACACCAATTGACAAGGTTCCCCTTCATCTCTTTGTTGGACCTGATGCCGTGGATATGGCCAAACAGAAGATTGAAAGAATGAGCAAGGACTTGGCTGTCTGGGATACCAAAGCCAGATCCACCAGCTTTGACTGAGAGATCTCTTCAGTAACATAATTAATTAAAAACAAACAATCGCATGCTACCCTTTAACACGTTGTCCTCCGTCTGGCTGTCGACTCTGGCTATGTGCGGTTTGTATACAAGGACGACGAGGCAATAACCCAAGTCACCGGCTAAATGCCCAGGCAATGTGACAATATTTGTCACACTCGACCCTCATTTGTTCAACATGTAATCCAGACAATTAAAACAATAAGAATGACAGAAAAAGGATGAGGAAAGGTTTGTGGTCACAGTCGTTGAACTGACAGTGTTGCTCGCCGACACAGTGGACACAGTGGTGATGGCAACAGTGGATTGAGTGGAGACAGTAGTCGTCGCCGACGTTGACACTGGTGCAATGGTCGGACCATGACAATAAGGCTTGCCATCGATACCAACAGAGCACACCAAGCACACCTGACATCTGAAGAAAGTGCATCGACTCATGCATTCTGGTGGCAAAGTGGCAGATGGTTGGCAACACAAATGGACATGGCAAGTTACATTCAGATGCTACAAAGATGATTAATTTAAAGTTAATAATTAAATTAAATCAAAAATATCAAAATATATATAATTTAATTTACCTTGTATTCCAGGAGATAAACTCGAGAATAGGAGCACAAAAAACAAGAGTACTGTTGCTGTTGGTAACAGGTACTTTGTCATTTTGAGGCTTCAAAGAGTTGTTTAGGTGTTGTAGTTGTTTGAAAATATACAAATTATTTTTATCTTGTAATGATTGATTATTATTAATTATTTAAATACTTTGTTAAGTTGAAATATTAAATAGAAAATATCAGGCCAGGCAAATGATATACTTGGTACTGTCGTATGAAATGTTGAGTCTTGATTGAAGCTCATTCATTATTGTTACCAAGGCCAAGCCATTATTTACATAATTGTTGTGCATATGAGCCAAGGTAACATAGAATAGTATCTCTGAGGTATTTACATTCAAACTAACTTACATGATGGTCTTCCCAAAATATGATACTGATGGCGCCTCTAGTTAGGGGGTAGTTACTCACGATCAATTATACAAACCCACCACAAACACAACCCTCTTTGGTTATAACATCAATCAAGAGTACCACACAACACTCTTGAGTAATAACACCATGATGTGGACCACAAGTGCCTCAACTACCAAAATGGGAATCATTATCCAGGGATTTCGAAAACGGACTAAACTAGATATAAGTAAGTAAGGCCTAGTTTGAGGCTGGAGATTGATTTATTCTACAATAAATACTACATGAAGTATGGAAGGACAGACCGACGGTGGTTAATGTGGATTGGGTTGAATGAATGAATAATGATGTGGATGAATCAGCCATGTTGAGATAATCAGTCCCTGTCGCTGCTTCTTCTAATGCCGTTGTGACTGATTGTTGTTAATGTTTGGACTCTAGTCGGGGATTGAGTGAGATTGATTGGTCGATTGAATTGATTGAGTGATTGATTGATTGGTCAAGATGTCCAGCTTGAGGCCACCTTGACACTTGTGGATATTGATAAATGATTGATTGGTTGATGATGATGATGGTATTACTACATTGTGCGTATATATATATATATCTATATATGATTGATTGAATGATTGATTGATTGATTGATTGATGGACGGACACTTCAATTCTTGATGAGAGTGTCAATTAGTTCGGCAAGAGGACCTAACTCCTTCTTGTCCACTAGGTTGAACTCTTGAATGAAGAATATAAAGTGCTTGAGTGATGTGTTGAGATGCGCCTCCTCGCCCAAGTTGACGATCTTTTGGAAGTGAGAGTGATAGATGTGCGCATAGACACGGAACAGACGCTTGAAGATGGTCTTGACGATGGGCTGGAAGTTCTTGGGGAAGGGCACGCCGATCTTGGACGGGAAGATGCTCTCATCGTCAAGCTGCGACTGCACCCACGTCATTAGGTAGTCGACGTACTCGGGCGCCGACACCTTGATCGCCTTCTTGACGGTCTGGCCGTCGGCCCAGTGGTACTCGTACTTGTTGCCCGCCGACATGACCGGGCATTCAGAGGGTGTGCAGAACTCTGTGATCGTGCCGTACAGCATGTTGATCTGATTGAAAAAGTCCACCGTGTTTACTGCCAGCCACTCGTTGAGGTCCTCGCCAGGAGGCAGTGACACTGCTGCGCGCAGATTGCCAGAGCCCAGTGTCGCCTCTGCATACTGCTTCAGCTGATACTGTTTTGAACCCTCCTGTATATTCTTCTTTGGTTTAAATGTTTGACTCTTCTTGCTAAACATATTGTTATTGAGTTGGTGTTAGTTATCTCCTCTCTGTGTAATATATATCTATTTAGTGTATGTTATGTTGAGTGTTGTGTACAATGATTGATTGATTGATTGATAGGATACGATGTGATCACAAACAAGCACACACAATGCTACCACCAATCATTGATTGTGATCACTCACTGCTCACGCGTGACCCTCGTTTGCAACCCCCCATCGCAATCAGCTAGCCCCGCCACTAACCATTATAAGAAATGATCAGCTGATTGGTGCGTGCATGCTCTTCGAAGTCATTGACTCTTGTCTGACCTTCATTCATTCATTCATTCATTCAATCAATCTGTCAATATGTCTGTGATGTTGATTTGATAGAGTAGTGGATAGTCTTTTATCTGTATCTTAGCTTACTTGAATATATTCATATTGTAATGTTTTGAGTCTGTCGCACTATATTGTACGCTGTATACAAATATATATATATATTATACAATGTATAGATAAGAGATAAATAATGTCAATGTGAATGAGTGGTCCACAACAACTTGTCAATTTGGTCTTGTTTCAAACCTTCGCATTCCCGCCTTTGTGTGCCTTTTTGACAATGTTGGGAGACAGGTGGGTCGTGTCTGTTTGCTGTCCAAAAAGTGATTGAGTGAGAGAAAACGAACCTCCTTTGTTACATCAACATTCATTCAACATCTTCATCGTTGTAGTAATAAAGTTATATTATTATTATTAGAATACAAAGATGAAACTAATATTAAATTGAGTAGATATTATTTTATTCATCAAATTTTATTCATTTATTTGTCTGGATTGAGGGAAATCTAGATATAAGTATCTGCGTGAAGTCAACTCAAAGTGCACTCACACCCCACCAATTATTCAAGTTTGTTGTTTGAGCTTCATAAACGAATGAATGAATGACAGATATAATAATAGAGATACAGATACAGATACAGATACATACATATATATAGTATATATTTACAGAGTAGCATAAATAATCAATCAATCAATCAATCAATCAATCAATCAATCAAACTTCATATTCATATTCATTTATTGAATGAATAGAACTACGGTGCCAAAGAGGAAGACGTCGGAACGCGCTTGCTTCCTTTGTCAAAAGGACAATGTCACTTGTGATGAGAAGACACCTTGCTCACGTTGTGTAGAGAGAGGCGCTCCTCAAATGTGTTACTACACTCACTTTGATAGACCGGTCAAACAGACGGGCACAACCTCCTCAGGCGGTGTAGCCGTCGCCAACAACAACACAGCCAACAACAACACAAACCCATTTGTTCAATCAAAGAACACCCAACCATTCACATATACTGGTAGTGACATTATAAAGTATCCTGTAAGTAGTCGTCGCCTCATGTATCTAATTGGCTGCGCGCATGAACCTTTACTCACTCACTCATTCATTCATTCATTCGTTCATTCCCAGCAGAGACATAATATGATTGATTCACATGCACATCATCATCATCATGGCCATCATAACAACAACAATAGTAACAATAATAACAATAATAATAGCAACAATGATTTCATTATGAATGAGTTGCGCGATCTGAAAGAGGGACAGAAGAAGATATATGACGAGCTGTTGTATCTACGCGAGAAGAACAAGAAGCTTGAACTGGTCAACGAGTCTTTGCTGAGTAAGCTCAGCTATCTAAACATCAACAGCGCTGTGCCCGCAATGCCTGCGCCGGGCACTGTCAACCCGACCTTCAACATCGATGGCGACCACGCTATCTCATTCCCCAGGAACATCAAAGAGATCGTGGACTACTATCAAAACATCTTCATCGTCTTTGATACCTCCAAGAACCCGCCCACCGTCATCGAGGCCTCCAAGAACTTCTGCAAGTTCCTAGGTTACACTCAAGTATGTGTGTTCGCGTGATTGATTGATTGATTGATCGTCTGGAACCCTTGACCTCGAACTCTAACCCTCACGATCACTCCTCTCCCTACTTTGTAGAACGAGATAATAGGCTTGCCTTGGACACAGATCATTCATCCAGCCAACATCGAGGTGACAATGAACCTCTTCAACAGGAACTTCATTGGCAGCTCTGTTGAGATACCTCAACTTTATAGACACAAGGTGAGGCTGACGGGCCGAGGAGCACGCACGAATGCAACACATGTACTAACTTCAATCCATCTATCAATAACCATGCATTACAGAATGGCGCTGCGATATTCAGCACCATTGACAATCATACATTCATCTTTGGATCGGAGGGTCGTCCGATATGCGACGTGGTCAATATCAAACTGATCAGCCCGGATATCCTCCCCACTGATCTGTTCTATCCATCGGGTAGACAACAAAAGAAGATCATGAACAAGCCATCCATTTCAATTGACCAGAGCACACCGCCTGACACACCTATCATTGATTCGCACTCGACAGGGCGCATTTACGAGGCACCCTCGACGCCCATGGTCGATGGCAGCAGCAGTCAACCAACGACACCAATGGACACACATATGAATAGCAGCAACAACACATCATCATCAGCCCATGTATATACTCCGACCAAGACACATCACGATCCCAACAGCAATCGCATCAACATGCATCCAATGACGACGACCACAACTACAACACAGACGACACCAAACAACAACATCATGTTTAACAATCATCCACCACCACCGGTCAGCATCTCACAAGACTCTCCAATCTTTACACCGACACTAGAGTCAACGACAACTCCTCCAACTCCCCACCAACAACAATTACAACAACACCAACTACACATGGCTGACACTGGCAACAACATCAACAACAACATTGTGGGAATGGGCAACAGTTTCGAGAACATTTATAATCACTTTCCAAACATGTCAGACTTCCCCGCACAGATGTCTTATCCAGACTTGGTGGACATTGACAGCAATCACTTCTTTGGCAATCCCAGTGGCGGTGTTGGCACAATCCAAGACGGCAGCAACGATGGCACATCCAATCTCTTGAACTTGGACTGGGCAAACAACAGCAACAACAACATCATCAATGTCCCAAACACATCTGCATCCGACCATCAGTTCTACATGAACACTCCTACTTCACTCGACCACGTGGACCTGCAACAGCATCTTCAGAATCCACCTGGACAATGATCAAATGAACGAACAAATGAATGAATGAATAAACAGGTACCTCGCGCGATGGATGGGGAATGGTGGAGTTTAGAGTTTAACAAAGATCTTGAATCTGAACATGGTGTAGGCGATGGCGTCAAAGAAGAGGAACCAGCCAATGCTAAAGACGAGTGAGGCGAGGTAACCATTGCGCAGCCAGGACTTGTAGAGCACGAGGTAGCTCTCGTACCAGAGTGTCTGGTTGTTGGCTCGGATGTAGAACATCAGTATGATCTCGATGAAGATCATCAACACGTAGATGGTGATTGGGTTCATGCCGATCCAGAGGAAGGGCTGGGCGGCGCGGTCCACCCACACCTTGACCTTGGGCGGCCAGGCCACCACGTCGAATGTCAGGTAGGCCCACGACATGAACAATGCGCCACAGGCCACAGTCAACAATGCGAAGCTGAAACTCCAGATCTTCTTGTTGAATGGGATGATCGTGGCGGAGAACATTGCTGCGCCAATGCCACAAACCAGTCCAATACCAAGCCATCTCAACAAGATGTTCTTATAATCATCGTCGCTCTTCTTATAATATGTTGTGAACACTCTTCCCAGTTCCAGTCCCATCCATGTTGTGATGTATGCACTGAATGTCGAGACAATGCCCTCTGGATCAGTTGGATGCATCCTGTATGATTGTGTGAGTATGTGAGTGGGGGTGGGGTGGAATCATTCCAATCACTCAATCATCTTAACATACATATTCTTTCGAAGGATTAGATTGTCAATATAGGCGGCTGCGTTACATGTTGGAGTGATGTCACCACGTCCACAACCTGGAACAGGATAGCCATACATCAGTCCGAGGTAGATAGTGGCACTTCCAATCAATGCCAATCTTTGAGCCCACTTTGGAAGTAACAGGAAGCTACAACAACTAAAGAAATAACAAATTGATATTCTCTGGAGTACACCCATCACTCTAAACGTTGAGAATACAAACTTATGAGCCATCAAGTTGAGGAATAACTGGATTCCAAACAACAAGATTGTCCTTCTAATAATATTGATCCAGGCTAAGTATTGAGGGTGAGTTAGTGGAATGGTTCCAGGGGGTGGGGGTGGGGGGATGACATACTTGCTCGATCATTCTTCTTGGCATTCTTCAAGGCGAGTGCGATTGAGAATCCACAGATAAAGAGGAAGGAGGGGAAGATGAGATCGGCCGTGGATATTCCATTCCAATTGGTCTCACTCAATGGCCATATCACCTCAGGTCCACCTTGATTGTCAACAAGGCTATTGATGATGTTAATGAATGTATGATTGATTGGGTGAGTGAGTGATACATACATCATTCCGAATATTGTTAGACCTCTGGCTGTGTCGAGACTGAGCATTCTCTTTCGAGGTGGAGGAGTGTCTGGTGAGGGGGTCGGGGTAGTGTCATCGCTGGATGGAATAACATTGATTGATGTATCCTCACGTATCAATGGAGTAGTTTCCGATAGTTGTAATGACATTATTATGTATATTTAGTATAGTAGAGAAGGGATATGTTTACTACAACAACAACTGATGATTTAAGCAGTTGTGATTGATTGAAGTGAACAAAAGTTAAGATGGTCATCAATCCAATCACATGGATCACACAAGTCAAAGATATTTTGGGTCTTGCAAAACTTTGATTGGGGTGAGGCCCAAAGGGGTATCATTCGGCTTCAAAGCAGCCATCTTTCAATCATCAAAATATCAACAAGCAAAGGGTGTAAGATTGGCCCCATTTCGTCGGTATTGATTAGAATGAATATGGTAGAGTGCAATTGCAAAGATAGTTTTGAATTGGCGCATACACCTATTCCTTCGGCAATCCCAGCATCCCAGCGTTATCACCAATTTGTGTAATTTATACTCTCATGCCTGGGAATCTTCATACCTACCTGTAGGAGTGAGTGACCTGGTACCAGAGGATTATGGGCGTTGGTGTGCGTGACTGATTAAGATTAAGATGCCGGTATCTAGTGAGCTACCTTTTAATATCTTTGACAACAACAATGTATGGATCATTGAACTTCATGAACTAATTGCGTTGTTATGATTAAGTTATTGATTAGTTTGTTTCTGTGTGTATGCTGAACGTTGATAAAATGAAAGACCAAAGTGTTCATTTATGACGAAAGTGGTTCAAAACGAATCTCAGATCATAATCAAGTTAACTGACTGGCTACACTCACAACAACAACAACAACAATATCTACTATAATATATAACACCTGTACACTAAATGATCAAATAGCATCAATCAATAGTAATACAAAGAATCCCTCAATCACTCACTCACTCACTCACTCATTAATCACACACTGTAGAGGATGGATGCCAACAAACCGATACCATCACAATTACTAAATGCACCATTACATCAAACGACAGCACAGTCACAATCACAATCACAATCATCATCACCAACAGCAGAGTTAAATAGCGAGTTGACAGCTGCATCGATAAACAACAACAATGACCTGTATCATCACATAAACAAACATCAACACTTTCACACCGACTGCCTCATCTCGGCACTCAGAGGCCTGAGGAATGGCATCCTAACAGGCGTACGCATCAGAATACCCTACATATTCCAAGCCGTCATCTATGCTGCTATATTCAGAGACCCAAGGTATGACTCACCACAACTCACTCAATCAATCAATCACATGATCACTCACTAATCATACATCAATCAGACTGTTGAGCAGGGTCAAGTTTGTAATCAAACAGATGTTCTTCCATGGTCGCAATCTTGGATTGTTTGTAGGAATATACAAGACGATATGTTGTGTGTTTAGGAATATTGGAGTGAAGGGTGGCGTGGAGTCATTGATCGCAGGCTTTGTAGGTGGTTACTATGCATTTGGCGACAGCAAGTCTACTAGTGGCAGTGTTAACAACCAGATTGTATTGTACCTCTTTGCCAGAGCTTTGATCGGATTCATCCAGAGTGGTGTCAAGAGGAAGATCATCCCAGAGACCCTCTCCACCACAACTCCACAAGGTTTCAGGATATTCGCCGGTGTCACACTGTATGTATCCTTGTCGTCTATACCCAAAGATGCTACCCGCGCACTCACTAACATCAATCAATCAATCAATCATGTACTTGGACACCCTTTGGAATGATTCCACTCACTCACTCACTCAATCAATCAAACATATACTTGGACACCCTTTGGAACCATTCCACTCACTCAATCAATCAATCGTTCAAATCTATCAGGGCCATGATATTGTACTTGACAGAGTATGAACCGGATACATTGAACCCATCATTCATGAGCACGATGACATACCTTTATCACAAGTCAGACTCTGGTCCAATGTTGCCAGCTGATGATAAGAAGTTCTCACCAATCATCTTGGTCGTCCTGGTCTCATTGTTGGGCGTCTACTTCCCATCACTTCAATTGGAGAACATCCTTACCAACGTATTCAAGTTGTAATTGATTGGTCGATCAAACATATATATGGAACACATCAAAGTTTATTATAAACTGGACAAAAGAGATAGTATTACAAATGATGATATCAGCCATATTGATGATGATGAGGACAAGGTCGTGGCAGCAGAGATCTTTGGATTTGGCTTGTCGTCATCACTGGATTGTGCAGCCGCCGCTGATGTCTGTGCAGTGTTGGTGGTGGATTGCGCGCTGGTAGTGGTAGTGCTGCTGGCTCCAGTGGTCGAGGTAGTAGTAGTGGTAGAGCTTGGTTGAGAGTTGTCCGAGTATTTGTAACCGGTCGTATGTTCAAAGTTCACCAGTCCCGCCAAGGCACCGGTGAACGCTGCGTTGTAATCCAATGCTGGCTCATTCTGGATGTAGTTGGCGCGAGTGTCGCTGAATGTCGTCAGGTCGAGCGATGGGCCGCCCATGAGTGCACCCTTGAGCACGTAGGTGTTCTGGGCGGGCGTGTCAATTGATTGGGCACTGTTGACCACTGTTGGATTGTGTGCGGCACGATGATGCGGGTTCTTGGGATAGTTGGTGCCAAAGCCGATCAAGTATGAGTATGAGTTCTCGGCGCATTTGCCCAAAACACAGTTGATCTGCTGTGTGGCGAATTGAGTCGATGCGTTGGTGTTGATCAATGAGGCCAAGAATGCACCGCCAGTCGCATACCTGTTGTTGCCCCACTTCCAACCTGAAGAGTATGATACAATGCCACTGATCTTTGATTGTGATGTCCACGTCGTGAGCAGTTGAGTGGCCATGTTGGTCAGGTCGGTCTTGGTGACCGATCCCTGGGCCAAGTTGGCATCATTCATGAGCTGGCGGTAGGCCAACACTGCGGCGCCGGCGTACTTAGAGTCCCAGCTGATCACTGCATTCCAGATGCTGTTGAAGCCGTAGTTCTTGATGTCTGAGAGTGCAGCCAGCATGTCGTTGAAGTATGATTGCGAGGTGTCCTTGCCCGTGGCCAGGTACATCCATATAGCTGCCATGGCCTTTTCATCCTTCCAACCTGATGAAGTGTAGCCTTGGGCCGAGTCGGGTACGACCATGTTTCCATTGGGGCATCTTGATCCAAGACTGTACATTCTCTTGGCGGTGGCCAAACATTTGGCCGAGTAGGTTGCGTCGATGTCCTTCCAAACCATGGCGGCAGCGGCCAATGTAGACGCACTCTGCATGGCAACATCAGTGCATGGCTGGGTTGAGGACACGGTGAATATCTTGCGTTCGTAGGTGAGGGTGTTGGGGGTGTTCCAGAGGTTGTGCGAGTCCATCACGTCGATTTGAGTGACCAGCAAGTCGTCCGAGACCAAAGTGTTGATCAACCAATCAGTGCCATACTTGAGCACGGACAGGTACTGTGTCTGGAGATGGCACTTGTTGTTGATGTTGTCCTTGTACTCGATGTAGGACCATGCCAACACATTCATAGAGTAGGCCATTGGGAAGGTGAATTTGATGTAGTCTCCAGCGTCAAAGAAGCCGCCAGACAGGTCGATGTCGGTCCATGATGGGTCGGCCAATGTACCATCTTGCAGGACACTATTTGAGCGCCAGTATACTTCACTATCCGGTAACTTTCCAGCTCTCTGAGCTTTGTAAAACATTAAAGAACTATACAATGCATCACAATAATCAACAGATTGTGATTGGACATTGATTGTTTGGAAAGATATTATTAAAAGTACAAATATAATTATGGAATAATTCGACATTATTATTATTAATAGTATTAAATAGTATTACAACAAATTATTAATTATTTTAAATTAATATTATTACAACAAATAAATATATATTATATTCTTTTGGAATTGTTATATCTTAAACATATATTATTATTATTATTATTACAAATATGATTGAATGTAGTTAGTTTGAATTGAATCGTCTGAAGTAGGACCTGCGACTGGTCCTTTTTATCCTACAATGTTGGTCAATAATCTGATCATTCATTCAAACAAAACAAACAACATACACACTCGTTCGCACACACAATCAATCTATCAAACAAACAGTCAATCAAACCAAACATGTTACACCATCACTGATGTTGATGGCAATAGTGAATGTGCGACCTACTTTTGCTAGTTCAACCAACCTACCAACAATGTTCTTTTTGATCAACTCACACGTTCTTCATTCGCACACACCAACCTTAATTTAGAAGAGAAGGACAACACACTGATTAATATCAATCAAAGTGTGCGTGCCCATTGATCAATACCCACAAACGATGCAAACATCATATACCAAACTTGATGGTTGACATAATCTTTGAATATTGAGGCCTCATTGAATGATGCGCACTACTCTTGATGTTGATTGAATTGATTGATTGGCAGTTGGTGTGGACGTGAAGGATGTGTTGGTTGATGATGGTTCTAAATTGAGATTCACCTGATCCGACTTGATTAATTGGTTGATGGCAATGACAATGAAGGCAGATAAGTGTGGGGTCGATCAAATATGTGTGTGTTTGTGTGTATTTGTATCTATTTTTGATCACCCCAACAACTTTTGTGTGTTTGTTTGATCAGTAGAGTGTGTGAAAGACTTAATATCTGTTTGATTGTGATCATTCATTTTGAGGAGTGAGTAGAGAAGAGTGGGTAGGTCGTTAGAAAGGTGGAAAGGTTACTCTGATGATCAGGTCATACATATTATGAGAAGGGGATGGTCAACGTCAGGGAATCCGAAAAAGCCAAAACCAATGTGTAGTAGTGGCTCTATTTACAACTTCCAGTCGATGGTTCTTTGAATCAATATATACCAAACTCAAGTGTGATCATGATCTTGGTAACGAGAATGAAACGATACAAATGATGATGGAGAGATAATCAATAACATGTTTATTTATTTATTTGTGATTGTTGTGAGATTTAATATTATTATTACATTAGTGATTTAGTGATTGAGTGATTCAGTGTGATTCAGTGAGTGACCATTAACTAGTTGGTTGGATTAATGATGGCTGGGTATTGACCCATCAATTGTTTAAAATTGGTTGGATCATTAATGATGGATATTCTTGGATTGTTGATGGATTTCGTGTCCAATTCCTTCATCTCATGGCCATAACCAAACAATGAAAGTACCAGTAATCTTCTTTGATCATTTGGTACCAAGTATATCTTGTGGAAATTGATCAAATCATTCTTTGTAACCTTTGACAATACATCAACCATCTTTGTTTCTATCATTGATTGGTCGAGTGTTAGTGTGGTGTTGGGTGTGGGGTGGAATGATTCCAGGGTAGACTTACTTGTTTGATAATCACCGAAATAGTTACTTCTGAGATCCATGTAATCTTTGGCCAACTCCATGAGGTTGGACCTCTTACGTTGGAGTCGTGTTTGGTATCCTTTGACGTAGGAGTCGAAATGGGCTTGGGGCATCTTGTCTAGGAATTGAGGGAATTGATTGTTTACAAACTCATTGATCCTGCTTTGGAGATAGTCAGCATCCTTGGTATTGCTCTGCACCTCGACACTAAATGAGACCACGGCCAACTTGACCGTACACGTTGCAAAGACAATGTATCCAAGCTGTTGATTGGTCCTCAACTCGGTGTCGGCCTCCTCGTCCATGATGATGGCTAGCAGATGTCCAAGAGTGGCATTCTCTATATTCGACACTCCGCATTGGTAATGGAAAATGGATACGGAGTTGCCTTGGGCGGGGTCTTCCACTCGCTGGCGTATGTGATACTCCACACCCGCTTCGAACATGACACTGCGAGGGATCATCACGTCGCACGACCGTGTGCCAGTTCGCGAGTCAACCATGGTGGCAAAGTCGCGGCCAAACTTGACGGCATCATCTTTGGTCACATTGCCCATGACCAACCAACGCACATTCAGTGATTGGATATATCTTCTGATGAATTGAATGAACTCCAGTCTTGTGATTGTCTTTAGTGCATCATATTGATCTTTGATTGAATGACTGGTGCTGACGACATATGGTCGAAGAACGAAGCGATTTCCATATTCCAATGGTTCGGTAAACTTTATATTGCTAACCAATTGCATTGCATGTTGATGCGTGAGATTGAACTGCTCCTCGCTGATGTCAAACTTGTTGAGATGTTTGAATACCTCCAGTGCCAAGGTGGCCAGCTTGTTATCGTATCCAGAGCATATCACCTCGATGTCCATGGCAAAGTGCATCAAACACATTGTAGCATTGTACAACACATCGTCATTCAAGATGGACTTGACGGCCAAGTTGAACAAGAACACCTGGACAGTCTCATGCACAGTCTTCATGTAGGACGACTCGAGCCTGCCGACAAAGATCGCATTGGGCGTGTTGAACATGTGATCGGGTGACCACTCCACTATTATGTTGTCCTCGTTGTAGACAACTTGTGGCAACACTTGTTCGCCTGTCTGGCTGGCCTTGATCGTGATGCTCGAAGGGATGAACTGGTTCTCTTTGGTAAAGTGCAGTCGATCAGACTTGGGCATCGATTTCCATGCGATCAACTGATCCGCGGTCACAGGCCTCATCGAGTACTTGAACCCATAGTGCTCCTCCACCTTGTCAGTGAGGTGCTCAAATGTTTTGGAGAACTGCACCACAGACATCTTGTCAAAGGTCAATGAATCGACAGCTTGGCGATACCTTGTCTTGTTGAAGGTCTCAGGAACCATGCTTCCAATTCGCATCATGTGCTCAGGGTGCTCAGTGAGTGTGGCCAATTGGCGCGACAGATTCTTGACCAAGCCAATCGGTTCGAATCTGGGAAGGTTGTTCCAATTCATATCCGAGATGAACTTGATCTCCTTGTGCACATAGTCTGGCAACTCGCTGTGAGTGATCATCTGGAGGTAGTTGTAGAGATGTCCAGCCACTTGATCGGCGTGCTTGATGCCCAAGGGAGTTACGGTGATCCTGATTGAGAACATTGTGATGCCAAGGTCGTGCATCTCAATCGCCGCAGACAGATCATAGGCCCAACCAATGGACTTTAGGAACGAGAGCAATGAGCCTTTTGACTCATGTCCGAGCAAATGACCGATGGTTTGCCATGGACTATCGTCGTACACTTGATCGACAGCCAGGTGTCGGGGTACAGGCCAAGTGAAGTTGATTAAGTGGGTGTCCTTGACAGGCACGCCAAACACCTGGACACTCTCTCCTAGTACCAAGTCTGGTGCGTTTGGCGTCTTGATGTTCTTGTTGACAATATTGCCAAAGTACTGGCGCGCCAGCACCTCCTGCGTGTCCAAAGGGGCCGGGCTGACTAGTGCCAAGCTCATGATGTTGGCTGAGTAGAATTGATCGTAAAAGGCTATCATGCGCTCGCGTAGGCCTGGTCGATCGTTGAGCGTGGCCAGTGATCCAGTGTCAAAGCGGGAGACGGGGTGTCCAGCAAAGCACATCAAAATGGCGCTATATAGCTGATGCACATCTGACTGGCGATTGGCATGATGCTCTGAGTCGACTGCGTTGATCTCTCTTGATGTCGCCGACTCTGTGAACAACGGCGACACAAAGAATGATGAGAAACGATCGAGCGCTTCCTCGAGGCAGGCAGGTCGCACTTTGAAATAAAAGTTGGTGAACCATTTGTGGGTCTCGGCGTTGGAATGGCCGCCATTCATCGTGATGAACTGGGTAAACTCCTTCTCGACGGGGTAGCGCTCCGTGCCCAGAAACAGCATGTGCTCGAGGAAGTGTGCCAGACCGGGGTAGTCATCCGGGTTGCTCAATGAGCCAACTTGCACGACCATGGCAGCAGCGGCCAGCTCAGCCTTTGGATCAAGTATCAACACCACCTTCATACCATTCTCCAACACCAAGTGTCTGTATTCATTCTTATCATTTGGTGATTTCTCAATTATCACTTCCTTTCCATTCCTTTCAGGAATTGATTCCATCATTTTTGATTGATTGATTGATTGATTGTTTGTTTGTATGATGGATTGATCAAGTATAATGATTGTTTGGGATGATATTTAATATTGATTGATTGGATTGTTGGATTGGATTGATTAATTGATTGATTAGAGTGTAGTTGTTCAATCTGTTTGCACGACGATCATCTTATCATTAATGGTACACCACACACATACACATGATCAGGTGATTGTCTGGTCTGTAATTGATTGATCAATGGTGTGTGTGTGTTATGAGTGTGATCTTCGAAGATCATACCATGTTACTAACCCATTCTGTTATGTTCATTTATCCGATCGTCAACAGGACTAGACTTGATTCGGTGTCAATCAACACCCACACTCTAACACTATTGTAATTATTATTATCTGTTTGATATACAGTAGTATGATGAATAATGATGTCGATTGGTTCACAACATTCATCATGTGATCCTTCGCGATCACACTCCATTCATGTCTATCGTCATCAAAACAGATCAATTTTGTGGATTTACTTGCATTGTTGCGTCAACTCTTTTGGGAACAAACAGGACCATTCATGGGACCATCAACCAGAGACCCTCTCTTCCAAACTTAATATTAATAACAATGACCGACTCTTACATTTGATCAATATTATTGTACAATACAATGAATTTATTAATTCTATTTGTTTTATTTGTATCCATATTTGGACATTCACTAGGTTATGGTGAATCTGATCCAGATGGAAATCCAATATGGAGAGAACGTGAAAGTCATGTCATTACCAACACAATAAGAATGGGTAATTAATCATTATATCAATGAATCAATTGATCAATCATACTGATACTCATACTATTCAAATAGCACCACAAGACTTTGTTCCAATGTATTATCCATCACATGTTGCTTCCAACTTTATGCAATATGTAATCTATCCACCTGTTGGTCCTCTATACTTAACATTGAATGGATCACGTGTTGCCAAAGCACACAGTGTAGACCTTGGTACCAATGGATGTTTCGAACACAATGACTGTAACGGTACCCTAGTCAGTCGTAGGTTCAACAAGTTCCTCAACTACTACTGTCTGGACAATGTAAGTACCATTGATGATCAGTCGGATCCAGTCCAATCATTCTAATACTGATATTATTAATGATGTTAGTGGTCCGAGAACATGGCACAAAGGATTGAGGATGGAAAGTATGCGACTTTTGGATTGTTATGTGAGACTACTTCAACTTGTTTCCCAGACTTGCAGAATGATGGACATCGATCAACTATGATGAACCCAGACTTTAACTCAATGGGTGTTGGTATGATGTATGGACCCGATGTCTATACTCAGGACTTCTTCCAAGACAGGTGTTTGACATTGGACTATCCAGTTCACTCTGGTTCACATACCTACAACATCTCATCATCCTCATCCCAAGTGATCACTTTATACTACTTGGCAACATGGCATCATAACACAAGTGCACCTACTTCTGCCAAGTTGTTTGTCAAACCAAATAATGGTAGTTCATGGGTATCTGACCTAAAGTTACAACTTGGCAAGTCAAATGCTGGAACATACTTTTACAAGACAGAGTCATTCCAAGAGTGCCAACAATACTACTTTGTATTTGAATTGGGATCAAAGACCTATCGCTACCCTGAGACTGGTGTGCTCCAGACCCTCACCTTAGACAACCAAGAATGTCCATCATGGGTCAACACCAACTTCATCGTGGACACTGACCATCCATCATCTGCACCATCCATTCCAAGGTCGCACTCCATAATCATCCTCGTCATCCTCATCATCCTCACCATCCTGGTCATCTTGTAATAAAGTACGTGCGTGTTGCTTTAATTTGATTGATTGAATGGATGGATTGGTTAATGTACAGAAGTGGCAGGTCTGCCCAGGTTGTTGGACGACGTCGGCACGAATATCTGTTCGTAGTGTAATACACAGAATGTGAAGAGTCCTGGGATGAGACCTTTGAGTGATTGAGCAAAGCATGTGGTCACATTGGCCAGCACCATCTTGTTGTGCTCGCTCTGCTCCGTGATCCTCTTTGCAAACCTGATCAAATGCTTCATCAAGTTATACTCATTCTTTGGTACCTGTTTGAACAACTCCATCACATTCACAATCTTGTCATCATCAGTTGATGACCTGTCGGCTGTTGAATGATTGTGTTAGCGTGTGGGGGTTGGGGACGGAATGATTCCAAGTGTGATTGAACATACCTATGATCTCGGCAGAGACTATCCTTAGACTAATGGGAACAAGGAGGTCGGGTAGCTCGCGGAGATAGAGTTTGAGTAGGCCAGCAACGGCGTGTGTGTCGATCTTGTTGTTGGGCGAGAAGTCGATGGTCTCGCCTTTCTGGAGAATGGACTTCATCTCTTGGATCTCAGTCGAGCTGCCACTCATACGTAGGATGCCTTCCTCCTGGACATTGCGCTCGAGGAAGCCGATCATCTTGGTGAGGAATGATGGGATCTCGGCGCTGGGGTGCTCGCGCTGCATCACCTCCTCGAGTCGGATGCCAAACACGCCTGGGAATCGGATGGTACCAGCGACGCCGCCTCCGCCACCACTCTCACGCTTCCACTGGCCATGACCGTCATCTCGCATATGGCCTCCTTGCTTGGGCTTGGCGCTCTTTTTTGTGTCGTGTAGGATTGGCTTTGAAATCTCGTTGGGCTTGCGCTCGAACCAGGGGATGGCGCTCTCCAACACGCCCAACCACGCTTCCATGTCCTTCTGGTTCTCGAATGCCAACAGGCACCAGATAATGGTTGGAGCGTTGCTTGAGGTATTGGCGCTGCCAGATGTGGGCGAGCCCGCTGGGATGGAGCCCGACGCGCTTAGACTTGTGGCGCCGGGGCCAGGAGTCGGTGAGGATGGGGTGTCGGTGGCTGCGACACCTGTGCTGCTGCCCAACTCATGTTCAGACGCTATTGACGTGCCAATGGATATGAAGAATGTCTTCTTCTTTGAAGAGTCTTGTGAGCTGGATACACTGATAGTTCGCTTGTCATTGAGATAAACGACGTCCAATGGCTCTTTGGACTTGTCATTCTTGAACAGGAACAAGAAGTTGTCCTTCAGTGTGCCCAGCGCCTTCTTCTCCTGTCCCTTCTTCCATAGCTTCGAGCCAATCTGATACACGACTGGTGCAGCCAACACTGGATTGAGCAAGCTCTCAAACGATATCTTATGCTTGTACACCACACTCGCCAACTTCTTTGCGCAATCATCCTTTGTCAACAAGTAGTCCTCCAATCTCTTAATATTGAACCTAAAGTTATCATTCTTCTTTGTCAGTTCCGATGACATCTGTTGGTGATTGATTGATTGATGGGCGAGATTAATGTTAGTTTACGGGACGGAATGATTCCAGTGTGGTTGGTTGGTGAGTCCCCGCCATGCCTCTCCCATTGGGACCTTACCATGTTGGTACGCTTTAGTAGATTGTTGCTGTGGGCAGAGACGCGCGCGGCTGTCTTGTTCTGGTCGAGAAGTTCTTGCATCTTCTGGCGCATGAGCACCTGCATGTCGTAGCTGTTGGTCTGCTCGATCTGGAGTTGGACAATCGCATCCTGTAGCTGTGAACCAACCATTTGATTGTGTTCGATTATTTGATGTAGTAGTTCAATCTGACGCTGAGGAGTCTGTGATCGATCAACACCTTGATGACCCTTGAACTCATAGGCTTGTGGATGGAAGAGTGTGTTGGGGATGGGTGATAGATGAGCGATGTTGCGCTCATCACTGCAGGCAACCGACTGTGGTGAGGCACCTGGATACTCGACCGAGAAGAGCTCGGCGCGAGGCTTTCCCGACTGGTCCATCGCGCTGCTTGGGCCAAACTTGAGGGGGTGGCTGATTGAGCAGCGACGTGAACGCAGCCGCGGCAGCGTCCTGTTGTTGCTGGTTTGCCGAGCCTATGGCGGCACCGAGCACCCAAGGGTGCTTGAGAAGCTGTTCGGCAGAGGGACGTTCTAGAGGGTTGCGCGTGAAACATCCTTGAAGGAAGCTGGCCAGATCGCGGGACACACCCTTGGGCAAGTCCATGTGCCTCTTCTCGTCGACGATGCGTACAAGCGCCTCCATGGGCGGCAGTGTGGGGTAAGGCGGATGGCCCGTGACAGTCTCGACGATGGCACATCCCAGTGCCCATATATCCACCTTGCTTGTGTAGTCGCGCATCAGTAGTAGTTCGGGTGCCTGCCAGTTCGGGTCGCCAACGAGTGAATGTCTATAGGTGCTACCCAGGGTGCTACCCAGGGCAAAGTCGCTGAGTTTAACTTGACCGGCCTTGCTCAACATTATGTTTGTGGCCTTGATGTTTCGATGAATGATGTCTTGTTGATGCAGGTAGTGCAGGGTCTCGAGCACCTGAGTCACATACTTGCTGAGAAGGGACTCGGGCACGGGTCCCAGGCGACGATGAATGTCCGCCAACGAGCCGTTTTCCACAAACTCCTGGACGACGCCGACCGTGCCATGGGCATGATCACCGCCTGCCACCAAAGCGATATATTGTACAATGTTCTGATTGAATGAAAGGGACTTGAGCACATCAAAGTCTTTGCGCAATGTACACTGCTGATTGTAATTCAGTCTATTTCCATCCATCATCTTCACGGCCACATGTTCGCTGGCGTCAGATACAATTGCCGAGTATGTGTTGCCATAGTATCCACAACCAAGTTGATGTACCAGTTGATATTTGCCCAATGTTGATATGTTGCCATGTTGTCCTTGGGTGTGAGCTGGACTCTGTCCTTGGACCTGGCTGTGGTTGTGGCTGTGACTGTGGCTGTGGCTTTGGCTTTGTGTGTGGCTGGGGGTTTGGCCAAGGAAGCTTCCATGTGACATTGATCGCGGCGCTGGGAGTGGAGGTGGAGGTCCACGTGGAGATATGTTGAAGGTGAGCGGCGAACGGACTGGTGGAGTGGGTGGTGTGACTGGCGCACCCGTTTGGTTGTGTTGATTATGATGATGTCTGGCTGGTGTGTTTGCCGTGGCAGTGGCAGTGGCGGCAGACTGGTGTTGTTGTTGCTGCTGGCCTGGCATTGGTATGGCAAAGTTTCGACGATTCCTTCTGAGTGAACGTGAGTGTAGACTTGTGGCGCTGTCATCTCCACCATCATCAGCATCCTCGACTGTTGTCACCACCCTCGTAGTGCTACTCTCATCGACAATAGTCACTGGCTCACTATAATGTTGATGTTGATCATCGTCCTCATCATCTTCATCGGCGTCGTAATGTTCGTGGTCATTGTCATTGTCATAGACATCATTATCATCATCTCCGTCATCAACCTGTAAGAACTGTCTGACCTGGGTCTGCAGGGCAGACATCTCCTCTGCTGCGTTATGTTTTGTTGGTGATTCGTCCATTAATATACAAATAAATAAATAAATAATATGTATGTTTGATTGATTGATTGATTGAGTGATTAATTGATTGATGGCTTTGGATTATTGGATAGGACTTGGAGTCGGCGGGTCCTAAAATATCTGTTTTGAGCGATGACACCACGCGTGTCGGATTGATTGAAAGATGGCTCGCTTTGTAGTTTGAGTATTGGAATAGTTTGGGACAGGCCACAATAACTACAACAACAACAGATAAAGGATGCAAATGTGTTGGAGTTGATTGAATGATTGATTAGTTTATCACTTTATGTCTTAAGTATGTGTGTTTGTGTGTGTGTGATTGATCATGATCATGTGCCTTTGGACCTGTTTGGACCAATCCATTGTGTCCCCCACACCACACTCCAGCCCATCAACAATCAACATTGGACCCTGTTCATTCAAATAATCGATACTAATTTTGATGATTGATCAAATAAACACCTGACATGGTTCAGGCGATGGTCGAGGCCAGCTTGACATCGTTTTATTACTTTAGTTTCTCCATCTATGAAGTGCATCAAGTCAAAGAATGATGAGTTGTTTGGTTGAAGTTAGTTAGTTAGCATCATGGAATGATTGATTGAATGAATGAACGACTTACATTTTCAAAAGACGATCCTTTGATCCAGAGACGACACTATCACCATTTGGACTCCAATCGACGGTGTAGACTTCGTCGGCATGACCTGGCAATTCGATGGTCATCTTCTTGGTCCTGATGTCCCAGATCTTGAGTGTGCTGTCTTTGCTGCCACTGACCAGGAAGCGACTGTCACCCGACCAGCATACCTGGTAGACGGCGCCAACGTGGCCGCGGAAGTTGCCCAGGAACTTGCCGGTCTGGCCATCCCACAGCTTGATCGACTTGTCGAACGAGGCACTGGCAAAGTATCGGCCGTTGGGCGAGTATGATACAAGGTTGATGATCTGCTGATGGCCAGTGAGACGCGCAATCGCCGTCTTGGTCGAGGCGGGTGCCCACAGAATGACAGTAAAGTCGTCGCTGCCACTCACCATCAGATCGCCGCCGTGCTTGCCGCTCGACTTCTTGGCCTCCTCATAACGCTCGAGGGCACGCTGTTGTGCCGCCTCGATGGTCTCCTTGTGCTCGCCCGTGTGATCGAATGGTCCTGTGCGCAGGACATAGTCAGTGTTGAGCGCCAGCGTGTTCACCCAATGTGCATGGCCCTCGAGCACACGCACCAGCTTTCCATCATTGGCGTTGTACACTCTGATCGTCCTGTCCTGTGAGCCTGTATATATCAGTCCTTCACCACTCCACTTGATGCATGTGACGCTCATCGTGTGACCAGACAACGTCATCAAACACTTATTCGACTCTGTATCCCAAATCTTAACAGTTGAGTCCTTTGATGAGCTTGCCAGTCTTGTGCATTTTGGGTTGCTACATTGATTGATTGAGTTAGTGAGTGAGTGAGTGGCGAGGCATGAGAGGTCGAGGCGAGTGATCAAACATACATGTGGAAGGGCTCCCAGGCGAGACCTGTGATGAACTTGGTGTGACCTTTGAGCACGGCTCCCATCTGCTTGCCATTCGTTGGGTTCCATATCCTGATGTCGCCCTCCATACCAGCGGTCGCAATCTTGTTGTTGTCAGGTGACCATGCCACCTGTAGCACCCAGTTGGTGTGACCCTTGCAGGTCAGCTTGGGCGTCTGAGTGTTGATATCCCATATTCTAAGGGTTGTATCGCCTCCGACTGACGCCAGACCCGTGCCATCCGGACTGAATGCACTGTTTAACACAGCCTCTGTATGACCCTCCATCGACGAGCTACAACGCGTCACTGGCGTCACCCTAAACACAGCCTGAGGCTGATAATATATACTGATGGTCGTCTCATCCGACTGTCCCTCCAAATGATTCTTCAAATTAGACACAATCTCATTATCTCCAACAAAGAATGAGTATGGCATTGGTTCATCCTAAGTATGTATGTAAGTGTTGTGTCAGTATCTATTTCATTCGTTCAATCAATCAAATGAATACAACAACAACATACATTATTCAACAGATTGTTGATTAATAGTTCGAGTTGTTCAGTTGAAACATTCTGTGAGATGTTTATGGGTGGACCAGTAGTCTCGCTATCATTATCACTGTCTTTATTCTTGAACTGTACGATCACATTCAATTGCCTATCGACTTGTTTCTGTTTCTCTGCTTCGGCCACAGTGGAGGGTACCTCCTCAGGCTTTGTGAAACCATACTTTCCCTTTGGGAAGTTCTTCTTTGCTGGTTTATCGTTCATTTCTATATTATATTATTATATATCTATCTATTTATCTGTATGTGTATATATACAATCAATCTAAATTAATATTATTAAATCAAAAGTTGAAGAAACGAACGAAAGTCTTAGAAACCCCTCATTCCAACTTTCTTTTCAAAACTTACCCTCGCACACATACCCTCGCGGACATTCCCTCTCAGACCATAACAAGTTTTGAAGCCCCAGGACTCACACAACACTAACATAACAATCTGTTGTTATTAGTTATAACCTAAGTTGTTATAACATCCAATCAATCAATTTCCTCACCACCCACACCAGGCTAGGCATGACGTGACCGATCAGCCTATCAGGGAAATGGCTGCAAATAATGATTGATTTTGATTGGAGTTAGGGCATCCTACAAGCCCTATGATCTCAGTCCTATTGATCGAACTGGTGGACCATCAAGACTTGGATGAGTGTCAATACATTCTCAATCATTCAATCATTCAATCAATCAATCATTCAAACATACATACAACAATGAACTTATATATATTAACTTTGTTCGTGTTGTTGTCTTTCGTCAACACTTCAAAGACATTGGAGTTCAATGGATTGAACGACTTACCAGTCGTAATGTTCAACACTTCAATCAATTGTAGTGATCCTAATGATCCATGTGATCTATTCGACCCAGCAAATTGGATTGGCGGTGTTGTGCCATCACCTTCGAACAATGGCCTAATAGACTATTCACCACAAACCATCAACAACAAATTAACTCAGTACATCAATGTCACCAACAAGTACTCATTCAATTCAAACATTGGATCATTATCGGTCAAGGGTCCAAACGTGCAGCTTGGCGTCTATGGCTATATCTGGGCACATCAATCACTTGAGATTGTCGATGCCAATGTGGTCAATGTCGACCCGCCAGGAATACGAGTCACAGGCGGCTTCCTACTTCTCGGCCAATCGACATTTAATGTATCGGCACTAATACTTGAAGGTTCAGTATTTGTGGATGTCTCGGCATCGTTTATGGTCAGCAACGAGTTCTTGCAGATCCTGCAGTCTGAAGAAGAGCCTACTCAGCAGACGGTATACTTTCAGTCGCAGCCAGTCTTCAAGGATTTGGGACAAGTATCATTTGAATGTCTAAACTCGACCTTCTACGCGGGCGTCAACATCATGGGTAGTACAGCTCCAGCCACATTCAATCACACGATCTACCTGCACGGACAATCATCCATTGATTCGATCAATTTGTTCGACACTGCCAACTTGTATGTGATGGATGGTGCCAACTTGTTGATCACCAATCAGCTCGATAGTGAGTCCGGTAGCAACATATATGTCAGCAATCTTGGCGCATTGGTTGTGGATGGTAAACAGCTCATCACTGGAGATGGTGTGACCATCAATGGATCAGTCACCATCAGCAATGGAGTGTACACTCCTGGCCAACACTCGATCATCACTGGCGACCTGATCCAACCCAGTGGCTTGGTAATGTTCACTAGCAACATCCAGAGTCTAACAGTGCAGGGTTCATTCAAATCATCAAGCATCGAGTACCTGGACGCCCTCACACCTGGTTTGGACCAGCAGCCAATCTTGACCGTCGAAGGTGAATTGGTATCACAATCTGTACATGTTCAATTCGTCGCCACAAGTCCAAAGTCTGGTGATGCCTATGTCCTCATGTTCGCGCCAACCTATGACAATACGGCAGACTATGTCGTCAAGTGGGCCAACTCTTCAGTGGAGTTGAGATATAACATAACTTATAATGCCGGCAAGGTTATACTACAATTCTCATCATAAATGACTTGTCAATAAAGTTGAACTTAAAATACCTTTCCAGAGTTTATTGTTCGTTCCTTACTTATACTACAACATCATCCTCATCACTCTCGTAGTAGATATAGTCATTGAAGTGGCTCTTCTTGCTCGCGCCAACACCACTGACTCCAAAATTTCCATTGGCCAGACTATTGCTACTGCTGCTGTTGCTGCTATCGATGCTCGCCATTGATGTCGTGGCAACACCCACAGCCAAACCTCTTTGTTCGATGAATGACTCGGAGCGTGACTTGTGCAGTTTGGAAGAAGATGTGACATCAGCTGACTTGTCCTGGATGAAGTCCATCAGCACACCACTGGTGCGAAGATGTTCTTTCTGGAATAGGTCCTGGAGGAATACCTCGAGCATCACACGACGTGACTCCACTGTGCTCGTGCCCAATGAGTTGATCAAATGTTTCTTTGGAAGCTCGCGAATGTCCACCTCGGGGAACTTCCTCTTTATCCTCTTATACAGTGAATCGAACTCACTGTATCTCTTGGCCGCAGATGTTATTTCGCCATTGCGTTCATTAGTAACATCGACAATATATACAGTGAATGGTTTCTTGCCTGGGACCTTCTTGCTCTCTGTCTTTTTGATCTTTACAATGTACTCTGCGCCCTCATCATGTTGAAGATGTTGCAGTGAAAGGTTACCCTGTGGATAAGTTGCGCGTAAGTAACATGGTGATCATTATCCAACTATGGCGTGGCCAAGCTACCCCACTTACCATTGATTGTAATTGTGGTTGTGATTGTGATTGATTGGATAGATTTGATAAGTCTGGTGAGGTCATTCCACGTTTGCCAAGCTTGCTCTTCTCGATGAAATCAATCATGGCTCTCTTCAATTGAGGCGTGTGGAAGGATAGCATGGCGGTCTTCTCGCCAGAGATCAGGTGGATGGCATTCTGTAACACCTGACTGTCATCTACATCCTTGACTCGTGTCTTGGCCAGCTGGAAGAAGTATCGCACCAGACATTTTGTCGAATCCTTGCGCTCAACAATCAACAATGCATCATTGAATGCGTAGTATGACACCTCTTCGAGATCCTTGGCAAAGCGACTGTCCAGACGACAGATGTTGATGATGCCCTGCTTGATAAAGTGGCGCGATGGGTTGACCAGGTCGAACGGCTCCTCCCAGCCGGTGAGCGAGCGCTGGATGTCCAGCACACGCGTCTGCGACTCGGAGAACTTGATCGAAGTGTTCACCTCATCGGCCACGGTCTGCACGTGCTTGAGAGCCGTGCCCAGGTCGTCATAGTCGATATGATCGCGCCACGTGTGTCTGTACATGTCCTGCAGTAGAAGGATGTAGCGCGGTATGCGTTGGACGACTGTGATGAACAGGGTCTCGAGGCTCTGCTTCATTGGGTTCTCGGGATGCTCCAGACATGCCTTAATGAACATGCCAAACTTCTCCGAGCTCTTCTTGGCGCGCTGTAGGCACTCGATGGCTGCGTCATAGTTGAGGCAGTATGTCTTGTACAGCTTCAAGTAGGGTGCTAGCTTGACAAAGATGTCGCCAATCTTTTGATGTGAACTCCAGTGAGTGGCGCGTGCTCGCAGACTGCTCAGCAGCTCGGTGTTGAAGCGGTAGATCTCATTGACTGTTGAGAAGATCGTGTTGATGCTCTCCTGCGTCAGATAAGGGTTGGGTGACACCTTCAAGTTCCACACCAGCTGCTGATAGAACACCTTCACAATCATCTCTATCGCCGCCACATAGTTCTCCTCTGTGGACAGTATCTCCTTGAAGCATTTGTTACGATGTATGTTGTGTTTCACTTGTGATTGATTGATTGATTGAATGAGTGCGTGTTAGTTTATGGGACGGAATGTGTCTATGTGGAGTGGAGAGGGACATACGTCTGAGTTTCAACTCCCTGCGTGCGAGCCATCTACGGACATAGCATTGACACTTGATGATTGTTGGCTCGAGGTCGTCAGAGTCGTATTTGGAGACATCGACCTTGTTGACGACGGTGAGAAGTGGCTTGCGCTTGGGACGCTCGGCCTCATTCGATGCGTCGACCTTGGCCGACGACCAGGCCTTGGGACCAGCCTGTGCAGTCTCTTCAATCGCTCCAGCACCAGATATCTGTGATACATCAACCATTACACTATTCCTTGCACGACCAATATTCAATCCACCAATCACTGATGCTGGTCTGTTGGTCTGTCTCTTCTTCCAGATGTCTATCTGTGTAGTTGGTGGCTGTTCCTGTTGCCCCTGCACCAAGACTGGTGTAGACTCTTGTACAAATTGATCCTCAAGCTCATCCAACTGATTGAGTAGTTGTTCCTTGATGGCTGATGGTTCATCATCCACATTCACCTCCTCTGCTGTCTCCATGTAGTAACCTTGAATAGACTCCTCGATTGCGTAGAGTTTTGTTGCCATAACATCCTCCTCCACAGCAATCAACTGATGATGTTGAATCTCTGGCTGTTCCTCCTTCTCCTCAACTACTACTTCATCGACATGTTGATGTTGTATCAGTTGATGTTCATCTTGTTGTTGTGTTGCCTGCTCCTGTTGTTGTTTGGCTTGCTTCACTTTGAAATAATGTAATATGTCCTCTAACGACTCTTGATGGGTCAGAATGGGTAATGTCGATGTAGTTGTTATGTCTGTGTTTGTGTCTGTGGATGTGGCTTGTTCAATGATTGGTGTTTGTTCAATCTGTGGCGGTATTTGTTGTGGCTCTTGTTCTGGTAGTGGTTGTGGCTCTGGTAGTGGCTGTGGCAGTGGCTGTGGCAGTGGTTGTGGCTGATCATCTGTGACCAGTGGTGATGATGTTTGGATTGGTGTTGGTGTGGCTTCATCATTGGAAGGTGATTGCGATGATGATGATGACGTGGAGATGGTGGATGTAAGTGTGAGTGCGGCATCAAGCTTCAGGAGGTTTCCAATCCTTGTGGCATGTAGCTCGCTACGAGGCTTTGATGGTGCTGGTGTGTTGGTGTACTGTGATGATAAAGGTGAGGATGGCTGACTGACGCTGTGACTTGTTGGTCTGGTTGGACTGTTGAAGAAGCTCTCCATTGTGTCGTGACTGGCCACATTGAGTATGCTTAGACTCCTACGCGAGCCGGCTGGGGCGGCGGACAGGGGTGAGCCACCGGCAGCACCCGAGTTGGCCACATGTCGCCCACTGGCCACCAAGTACAATCGATAGATGACACTCTGTATGCCCTTGTAGTTGCCGTCGACAAAGTCCTGCGGCGAACACTTGGCAATCATAATATTATTGTCGGCCATGAATTTGATTGCAATGTTGATATTATCAATCATCTGTATCTTGCTCCTTGGATTCGGATAACAACGAGCGATTCGTTTACCCGTTATAATCTCCAACGTAGCGATCAGCAACACACCATTCCTCCACTCCTCCAGCGTAGCGAATGTCAACTGTCTCTTCTCCTGTAATACTGATTGAGCCCATATCACCTCCTATTTGATTGATTGATTGATTGATTGTTAGTTGTTTGTCGTTGGATGGAGGGTGGGGGTATCCCAAGACCACGACCAGGACCACGATCAGGACCCAAGCCCACACCACACATACCTTTGTCTCTAAATAAGGCTTATGTTGGCTTCTGATTGACATGATCAGTTACCAATAATATATATTATATGTATACTTATAAGTATAGTTATATGTATGATTGAATGGATGTTTGTTGCAAAGTAACTTTGGACACGTGACACTCATTGACTTGGTGGTTATCAGATAACTAGTTTGTGTGTGTGGATGAGGTGTGAGGACGATCGTAATTAGATAGATACTAAAAAAAATCAGATTTGATGCGATTTGAATTGTTTTGAGCTTTTGGTATTCCAACTCCGATTCCTCCCAGGTCCACACACGTCGACAATCTTTCGTGTGTCTAATGTTTGAACTTGTATTCGGCGACACACATCTGATCGTCTATGAATCGCCACGCTCACGACACACATACACACACACACTGATCATCAGAAAACGAACGAGTCGAATGAATGGATTTAATGTTGTGTGAATGACACACCCTTTTTGTACTTGTTGTCCATCTCAGCTTTCTTCTGTGGGTCGATCTGATTGCGAACACCCAGCAATGTCTTGGAGACACCCTCGGTGATACCAATCATCGGTCGGATGATGGCGATGGGCACTGCCTTGACCATCGACTTCATGTATCCCTTGGTGCCCTTCTTATGATACTCCTTCATTGGCACGGCGATGATTGTATGCGCTGCCGACTTGATCTCGCGCGACACTGATTCATACGCATGCTGGATGCCCTCCTTCGTGTCCACTGGTTGATCAGAGAACTTGCTGCTCGAGCTTGATGTCGTGGTGGTAGTCGTCGTCGTCGTCGATGTCGTGTGTTGTTCACGATGTGCTTGCTGTGGACTGCTACCTGGTTGTTGATGCTGCTGTTGCTGTTGTTGCTGTTGCTGCTTGGATGACAGCGCACTGTCAGCTGTCTCCAACAGACCTTGGGTACCAACGGCCATCTTGGCTCCAACGGACAAAGTCTCGAGCGTGAGGTTCTTGAGGAAGGATGCCGTGCCCTTCCTGAGACCCTTGAATACCTTGCCATCCTTGCGATACTGTTCCATTGGGATGATGACCAGGTTGGCCAGACTCTCGCCAACGTGCACCAACGAGTTGATGCCACGCACACCCGACACGTAGCCCATGAGCTGGGTGTTGATAATGTGTGGCACCCAATGTCGGCTGATCTGGTTGAATAGCGCATCCCATCCGCCGACGCCACTGAGCTTCAGACGATTCAGGTTGAAGATGGCGCCTTCGAGCGGCAGCAGGTTCAGCAGCTCAGAGTAGTTGCCGCTGGTTAAGCTTAGGTAGTCCATCTTCTTGGGCTTGTAGTCTACGTTTAGACGGATCGGATGTATCTCGACTGACTGGAAGTACGTGATGCCCTGCGCTGCTTCGACGTCGGTGGTGCGCGCCTTGTCCTCGGGTATCGATCGGCTCGTGGCCATGTGAGGTGGAGGGGTTCGCTTCTTCTTGGTCTGGGGCGACTCGCTGTAGGGTGACGACTCGAGAGAGCCGCGACGATGTGTCGGCTTGTACGAGAAGAAGTTGATCATGAACATCACCGTGTCTTGATCGATGTTAAAGCACAGTGGGAGTATTAACACCTTGAGTTTGTTCTCCTGCAGCAAAGGATGGTTAACGTCGGGTCGCACCGTCTCGAGCTGGATCTTGAGCATGGGTGACTGCTGGAAACGCGTCACGTTGGAGTCGGAGCAAAGGAACTTGTTCCAAAGAGACGTGGGCACGTGATCAATGATTGTGATGTCATGCAGGTGGAATGAGAGCAGCTTGGCAATGCGCTCAGTCTCTTCGAACTTGTCGATGCGCAGATTGAAGCCAGAGAACTGGAACTCCACATAGGTGCTTGTATCGCGAGACTTGGGCGAGGAGGTACCAGTTGAGCTCGATCCCTGTCCCGAGCCTGATGAAGTAGTCGAGGTGGACTTGTTGCGGGCCACAACCGTGTCCCAATCGTTGCCCTTGTATATCTTGAGACAGATGTTCATCTTGCTAAAGAGGTAGCGTTCGACTGAGCGTGGATAGGTGGGCGGCAGCTTGCAGTCCTCGGGGTCCTCGCCAGGACTACTGATGTAGTTCTCAATGATGTCGATGTCCTTGTAGCGCGGGTCGAGCCAAGAGACGCGCACATCGTTGTAGTGTGAGGACGATGATGATGACCATGATGATGTGGAGGTCGACGAGGAGTATGAATGTCCAGTCGCGTGGATCGAGTGCTTCTTTGAGGTCGCTCGCGTTGGCACAGGAGAGTACTCTGGCTTGAAGTCCGAGTCTTGCTCAAAGTCAACAAAGATCATCTGGTCCTCTTCAGAGGGGAGATCTGCAATGTGTTGCTGTTGTTGCTGAGGAGGCTGTTGCTTGTCCTGATCATAGTCCTCGATCATCACACTGCCCATGATGGGGATGATGCTTGATGTCTGCGAGGAAGTGTCCAGTGTAACATCTGAGTGATCGTCCAAAGAGGACATGCTGTCTGTGAGTTGTTGCTGCTGCTGCTGTTGCTGCGTCAGGAGGTCGGGGGAATGGTACTCATAGATAACTCCTTCGCTCTCGCTGCTATCCTCCTCGTCAAAGCTGAGCGCGTCGTCATCTTCAAAGTCCTCAAACACCATATTGGGCGGGTCGCTCGTGGTCGACGAGGAGTAGTTCACTGGAGGAGACTGGGCAAACGTTGACGAGGTCGCCTGGGACAGCTCGGCGATTGTCGATTTGAACGTGTCCTCATTGATGAGGATGTCGATGTTGTCCTTCAGGTCTGGCGCGATGCCCTGCATGATGATCAGGTCGGCCACCTCTGCATAGGGTATGTCGAGGCCGAGCAGGTTGCTAATGACTTCGTTGAGCACAAAGAATGAGTCGGCGCATGCACTGATCTCCAACATGTTGTGATTGAACTTGAACAGGAACTTGGGATAGGTATCCTTGTCTGTATGGCGCAAGACTTCAAACTCAAAGTAATCCAGCGCCGCTGCCGGCTCGAATCCAATGAACTTCCAGTAGTTGAAGACGGATGAGTGCGACGAGGTGGTGGGCGAGGACTCTCGCACGCTCAGCACATCATCGATTACGAATATGTTACTGTTCTGGCCACTGCAGCTGATCTTTGTTGAGTTGGGCACAATCTTGAGTTTGAAATCGGCAAAGAAGAACACTGCCGCCGAGCTGAGACCTGGCGACGGTATGTAATACAATGAACAATCTATAAAGTTCAGGAATGTCTTCATGCCAGCGCTGTCATCATCACAATCCACGTCGCTGTTTGGTTTGTTGTTGTTCTTGGGATCATTGAATGAGAGGAAGTCTGTGATCCTTGAGTACCAGGTAGAGTTGATGCGATGCTCGACTGTCACGCCCTTGAAGACCAATGACATGACCTTGCCATCGATGGAGGGGTCAAGGTAGTTGGAGTGGTCGTTATTGATAGACACAACGATGCTGAGAGACTGGCTCGGGATAATCTTGTTTGGCGATAGTGTGTTTGAGATGACTACTCTGGGCTTGGAGTCGCGCACAAGTAGGTTGGTCTCGATCAGCTCAACCTGCGACATGGAGGCATTGGTGAAGCTAATGTCGCGACCAAAGTAGCCAGTGACGTTGAACACCTCAAGCCGTTTGAAGTCGATCGTATACTTGAAGTGATCGAGATCCTGGAATGAGGGGCTAGAGCTAGACAATGACGAGCTCGAGTCTGACAACGAGGATGTTGATGGTGGGGATGGTGGAGGCGGGCGGCTGTTCTCAATCAATATGAATTGTCCTCTGCTGATGTTCATGAGTACTGAGCACAGGCTCATGTTCTTCATGGCCTTGTTGTTGAGGGCTGATGATGATGTAGAGGAGGAGGAGAGTCCAGCTTGAGGATGAGGATGAGGGTGGGCTTGAATGTCATTTGGTTGCTGGGGGGATGATGATGAAGCATCGTCCTGACTCAGTCTCTTGTGAATGAACGCTGAGAATGAGTCGAGCAACGACACCAGCAGATTGAGATCGTCCTTCTTGATCTCCAACTTCAAGTAAGGTATGACAACATTGAGTACGTATTTCTACATTGATTGATGATCAGGGAGTGTAAGTTAGATGGATGGATACGCCAATGAGTTTGAAGTGGTCCATGCAAGCACCTACCGATGACTCAATGGACATATGTCTGAATGAACTTATCTCATCTTGTTCGGCCTCGCCTAGCCAGTTATTATCAAAGATGCCCTCGGATGTAGCGATGAAGCTTGAGAACGGACCTTTGTAACGCTCCCTGTTGTTGTGGAGTGGGTTGAAGCGATGCGAGTTTGGCGAGGACGTTGGCGAGCAAGGTGGTGATTCGGAGGAGGAGTTCAGCCTGCTAGGTCGATATGGCGGCGAGTTGAGGTCGACGTCGTAGTTTGTGTATGCGCTGATCATGCCGCGAATGGTAACCTCGACGGGCATCACGTGGCCATGGGGTGAGGACGGGTCCTTGGTCTGGACGTCGATGAATCTGACGCTGTCATTGACCTCATTGGTGAGGCTAGAGTGTATGTCGTCAAAGTTCACCAGCCACTTGACGTCCTTGATATCCTTGATGATGTTGGACTCGACCACGACATTATTGGCCACGATCGAGAGAAACTCGGCGCGCAGACTCTGGCCCGCTGCCATACGTTGCGGATTGTCGTCATTGCATATGCTGTAATCGTTGGGGAACTTGACGATGACCTTGATGAGCGATGAGTGGACTCGCAGCTGTGTCGACGTGGACTCCTCGTCAGATTCATTGTCGTTGTCGGGGTGATCGAGTGTGTGGGAGGAGCCACCACCTCCGCCGCTCGAAGTAGCAGTTCCGTCGAGCGTGAAGTTGTTGCTGGCACTATTGAGCTCGGTCAGTATGTTTTCGTACGAGTGTGATGACCGAATAATTGGGCTGGACTTGTCGAACTTGCTCTTCTCCTTGAGCTCCAGCTCCGAGAGTGATGTGCGTCTGCTTCCATGTGTGGCAAGCTCCTCAAGCAAATACATTCCGCTGACAAGCAAATAAGGATAGACATAAAGTGAGAGGTCTTTCATTTGTACATTGATGTCCCTGTCGTAGGACTTCTTGCCGGCTGTACGATGAAGAATGTTAGCGAATATGATTGAGTCGATTATTTGATTGATTGAATGAATGACTTACGTTGATATATATACATTAGTTTGACATTGATGTCAAAGGGTAGGGTACTGTCATGGTTATGTACATTGTGGAATTGGATGATGGGATGGAGACTTGGATTGAGGATGTGATTGTCGCTCGCCTGTACCAAGTCGACGCATGACTCGGAGCATGATGGTGAATATACATGTTGGAATAGGTTGAACTTTGTTATGCTGATACCAATGTTCTTGGCGTGATGGCTCTGTTTGTAGCTTACGACCAAGTCATTCAGGTGCAGCAGGAAGAAGTCCGTGTTGTATGGCTGTCGATTGAAGTGGCGCTGAATGAATGCATTGTGTGATTGTTGTTGTTGTTGGCTGTGATGTGCATTGTACAAGAGGAATACTCGCAGCCTTGTCCATTTGAACTGCATAGATACCTGCTGTTGCTGTTGCTGTGTCTGAGGAGGAGATTGCTGGACTCCAGACTCGCCAGATGTTGGTGACTTGGAGGTCGTGACGACATTGCCGCCGCCCTGGTCCTTGGTCTGGTCGGACACCACATCGATAGTGCCACTGCTGCTGCTGCCCACGCCACTGCCGCCTCCTCGCCCACTCTTGAACACTTTGCCAAAGTGCTGTAACAGATTGAGTTGAGCAGGCGAGAGGACGATGGTGAAGTCGTTGAATATACAGTTGATGTTGAACAATGGCATGCTGTTGTTCTTCTCGTTGCGCTTGATCTTCAGGCCAATGTACTCGTGGTGGGGCGGCGAAGATGTGCTAGCAGCAGCATTGTCACCGGCATTCGTTTGCTCACGCCTGTTGGTGAATATCGTTTGAAAGGCCGAAGGGTTGATGCATTCCACGATGGAGCTGGTGTAAAATTGATCCTGCAGCAGTATGTTGCCTTCTGTCTCGGCCACCTTGATCGAAAGGTTTATCAGCTTGATCTGCTTGTAGAAGTAGGCCTGGTGGTCGGCTGCTGCGGTCTCGGCGTCGACACCGGTGTCTGCTGCTGCGGTTGCTGTGGCGGCTGCGCTGCTGTCTGTGGCGTACTCCACCGACTCGACGAGCAGTAGCAGCACGATCGACTTGTTCAGCTTCTTGTCGTAGTGCGTGATTGTGATGTTACAGTTGCTCAGCTTCACTGAGACCTTGTCGATGATCTTCTTGAGTATCTCGGACAACATCTCCAGACCGCCGTAGGAGTGGTCGCGGTTCGTCTGCGTCATGTTGTCCACCTCCTCGTCCTCGTCCGAGTAATAAGTATGTTCGAATTGTGATGATGATGATAATGAAGGTGTTGTAGTTGAGGTCGTTGTCGTTGTGCTCGTGCTCGTGCTCGTGCTATGCTGACCCTGTTGCTTCTGTATATAATCCTCATGATTCCTTTCAGAACTGACATGTTGTTGATACTCTATATCGTTAAGTTTACCAAGTACAATATCCTCGTAGTCTATGTTTGATTGATTGATTGAGTGAGTGAGTGATGTTGTTGCGCAGGTTGATCAGAGATAGGCACACATACTCTCATATGATACAAATGACAGTTCCAAGTTGGAGATGTTGAACTCGCTTGGACTATCCCACAGAGATGTGTAGGGTACTTTGGCATGTATGTTACCAACAAAGCCTGAGGATAGTGCGAGTGGCGAACCCTGTAGATCAGCATTGATACGCCGTATATTCAACTCTAGATTCGATAGATCTATTGTGCCACTCTTGAATCCGATATCGAACTGATCCTTATCCAATTCATATTGGAAGTAAGGACCGAATATCTTCTTGAAGAGGAATTTGGCACCTCTGTAAGACCACATTCTATCCTTCCTTCTTCTTCTTTCCCTTGCTCTTCTTCTTTACTATACTCAACTATCAATCTCTAACTATAATCTATAATACTACTATATATGTTCGTTTGTTTGTTTGTTTGTATGATTGGTTGTATGATTTATTATCTGTGACACTGTGTAATATATTGAGTTAAGATATAAGACTAATATATGTGTAAATATATATATTTATTATTTATGTATATGTTTGATTGAATACGAATGAATGAATAGTTTGAGCGTGATTGATTGATAATTCACCAGTTCCCACTTTTACACAACTTTGGTGGGTTTCACACGAAGATCGTAAAGAGCGAGGGTTGAGCGTAAGGGTAAGGGCAAGGGTTAAGGTGATATCAATTGCAACTGGAATCCAGCATCAACTCTCTTTGAAGCGGTAAGAGTGAAACAGAAGTTGTTTTTGTCGTCGAATGAGTTGTACTGGTTGACTGCTTGCACGCGACGGTAACCAGGATGAACTGTTGTAGACATGCAATAGTCATCATAGGGTAGGTAGAAGTAATAGCCGCCGTTCGTAGGTGCCAATGATTTTGTAACGCCATTGCTCATTCTCTTGATCGTAATGACTACCAGACGGTCACCGAAATTGTAGTCTGGCGGGCTGCTGAACACATTGTCTCTGTTGACGTCATCCCAAGCGAATCCATTAATTTGGAATATCTTCCTCTTGAATCCAACGTTGACTGACTTGTCCGCGCCGAGTGTGAAGCAGAAGTTGTTGGTATTATCGAATGAGTTGTCATTGTTGATCACAGCCAGACGCTCAAAGTACTGTATAGGCGTGGGCATGGTTGTGGACATGCAGTATTCGCCAGCTAACAAGTTGTCGTATTTGTAACCGGGGTCGTTTGCCGTGGTGGTCTTTGTGCTGACCAGAGAACCATTCTTGAACTTGAGTGTGATATCGATGTTTGCCAGGAATGGCTCGTCTGTGCGATCATTGTCGCTGCCTTCGTCATCGAATGCAAATCCACTTATTGTGTAAGTCGGCCGCTTGAAGCCAGCATTGACAGTTTTGTCGGCTGAGAGTGTGAAGCAGAAATCAGAGTTGTCCAACTTGAATGAGTTGTCTGTGTTGGTCACTGGGATACGGACGAATCCAGTTGGGATCGATGCTGACATGCAATACTCGCCATAAGGTATGCCGGTCAATGTGTAGCTGGGGTAGGTGGCTGTGGTCACTTGTGGTGTGCCGACACGCGAGCCACCATTCTTCTTCTTGAGTTCAATCGTCGAGCCAGCCAAGTTGGGCTCGGTGGCCGTCTGGAATGTGTTGTCAAAGTTGTAATCATTGAATGTGTAACCCTTGATAGTGAACCTCTTGATCCTGAATCCAATGTTAACATCAGTGTTTGCGCTCAATGTGAAGCAATAATCCGAGTTGTCCGTCTTGAATGCGTTGTCCGAGTTGGTGACTGGAACTCGGTCGTATCCAGCTGGTATTGAAGAGGACATGCAATACTCTCCATAAGGTATGTCATTGAATGTGTAGCTGGGGTTGTCTGATGTGGTCACCCGTGTGCCCACCACAGAGGCATCACTCTTCTTCTTTAGTGTGACGGTCGATCCGGCGATGAGTGGGTCTTGGTTCTCGTGCTTGTTGTTCAAGTTGTCATCATCAAATGCAAAGCCCTTGATCTGGAACTTCTTCCTGACGAAGCCCGCATTGATATTCTGGTCCATGCTGAGTTTGAAGCAGTAGTCCAGTCCAGTGTCGTTGAACGCGTTGTTGGGAATGTTGGTGATGGGCAGATTCTTGAATCCGGTGGGAGGTGTCGCAGACATGCAGTAGTCGCCCGCGGGTATGTTGGCGAATGTGTAGCTAGGGTAGCCATCGACGGAGATCTCTGTGTCAACCACAGTGCCACCAACTTTCTTCTTGAGTGTGATGGTCGATCCTGCAAGGAAGGGCTCGGTGTTCTGCAGGATGTTGTCTCCATTCTGATCCTCGAATGCATAACCCTTGATCTGGAATCTCTTGATCCTGAAGCCAGCATTGATGTCGGTGTCAGCAGAGAGCTTGAAGCAAAAGTCTGAGTTGTCCGCCTTGAATGCATTGTCCCTGTTGGTCACAGCCAGTCTGTTGTAAACTGTTGGTACTGAGGCAGACATACAATAGTCTCCAATTGGAACATCCTTGAATGTGTATGATGGGTCGGTGGCCGTGGTCACCTGAGTGTCGACCACGCCACCAGCCTTGTTCTTGAGTGTGATGGTGGATCCTGCGACCTTGGGCTCATTTGTCTCGTACGTGTTGTCCAAGTCCTCATCATCGAATGCATAACCCTTGATCTGGAACGACTTCAACTTGAATCCAATGTTGACAATCTTGTCGGCGTCAACGACAGTGAAGCAGACGTCAATGTTATCCTTGAATGAGTTGTCTGTGTTTGTCACATTGAGACGTCTGTAGTCGGGGGGAACAGAGGTGGACATGCAGTACTCTCCTGCCGGTACATTCTGGAATGCGTACGATGGGTTGGTGGCCGTGGTACCCTGCGTGCCAAAAACTGTGCCATTCTTGTGTCGGAGTATGACAATTGAGCCTGGGACCAAGGAGTCGGTTTGAGACTCGTACTTGTTGTTCAAGTTGGTATCGAGGAATGCAAAGCCCTTGACCTGATACAGCTTCCTCAGTCCTATATTGGCAGTTTGATCAGCTGAGAGTGTGAAGCAGAAGTCCGTGCCTTCATCATCGAATGCGTTGTAGTCGTTGGTGACGGGCAGTTTCGCATAGCCATTGGGAATCGACGCCGACATACAATAGTCGCCAACCTTAACATCGTTGAATGTGTAGCCGGGGTTCTTGTCGGTTGTGACTTGGGTGCCAACGATCTGGCCAGCCTTGTTCTTGAGTGTGATGGTCGTTCCTGCGAGCAATGGTTCGGTGGGCTGGTACTGGTTGTCCTGGTTGACATCAACGAATGAGTAACCCTTGATGTTGAACGTCTTGAGCTTGAATCCAGCATTGACTTGCTTGTCTACCCCACTGAGAGTGAAGCAGAACCTGATGTTGTTCACATTGAATGAGTTGTCGGTGTTGACAACTGGAATCCTGTTGTAGTTGGTTGGGATCGATGCTGACATACAGTAATCGCCAGGTGGCACATTCGTGAATGAGTATGATGGGTTGGATGCTTGTGTAACCTTGGAGTCTACGATCGTGCCACTTGGAGTCCAGAGCGAGACTGTGGAGCCTGCAACGAATGGTTCAGTGGCTGACTGGAATAGGTTGTCTCCATTGTCATCCTGGAATGCGAATCCACTGATCTTGAGCAGCTTCCTGAATCCAGCATTGACATCTATGTCGCCTGAGAGTGTGAAGCAGTAGTCCGTTCCATCAGCTTTGAACGAGTTGTCTGTGTTGACCACACCAACACGCTGATATCCAGCTGGGACAGTTGCCGACATGCAATAATCTCTCGCCTTGATGCCTGTGAATGAGTATGATGGGTTGTTGACTGTAGTGATCTGAGTGCCAACAACAGTTCCATCCTTGTTCTTGAGGGTGATTGTTGATCCTGCGACCAATGGTTCAGTGCCAGACTGGAACTTGTTGTCAATGTTGACATCATCATATGCGAATCCTTTGATCGTGTACACCTTCTCTCTGAATCCAGCATTGACGTCAGTGTCGGCAGACAATGTGAAGCAGAGGTCAGTGTTGTCCGCTTTGAATGAGTTGTCTGTGTTGACAACTGTGAGACGGTTGAATCCAGCTGGGACCGAGGCAGACATGCAGTACTCTCCAAAAGCTACATTCTTGAACGAGTATGATGGGTTGGCTGCAGTGGTCACCTGTGGCGTGCCAACAACACTTCCATCACTCTTCTTCTTGAGTGTGATCGTGGATCCAGCAAGCAAACGATCAGTGACTGCCTGATAAGTGTTGTCAGCATTCATATCATCGAATGCGAATCCCTTGATCTGTGCCCTCTTGATCCTGAAGCCAACATTGACATCGGTGTCAGCTGAGAGTCTGAAGCAGTAGTCCGAGTTGTCGACATTGAATGCATTATCTGTGTTGACAACACCAAGTCTGTTGTATGTTGGTGGTACTGTGGCAGACATGCAGTAGTCTCCCACGGGTATATCATTGAATGAGTATGATGGGTTGTTGGCCGTTGTGACTTGAGTGTTCACCACCGAGCCATCCTTTTTCTTGAGTGTTATGGTCGATCCAGCGACCAATGGATCTGAGCTAGCGTGGTAGTTGTTGTCAAGGTTCTCATCATCGAATGAATATCCTTTGATCTGGAACCTCTTCAACTTGAATCCAGCATTGATGTCCATGTCCACACCCATGAATGTGAAGCAGTAGTCCGATCCATCAACTTTGAACGAGTTGTCTGAGTTGACCACACCAACTCTGAGGTAATCAGCTGATGGAAGTGACGCAGACATGCAGTACTCTCCAGCTCGTACATCCTTGAATGAGTAAGATGGGTTGGTGGCTTTTGTAGTCTGTGTAGATACAACTGTGCCATTCTTGAACTTGAGTGTAATGATCGATCCTGCGACCAAGGGTTCAGTGGCACTCTGGTATGTGTTGTCACCGTTATCGTCCTGGAATGCAAAACCTCTTATGTTTGACCTCTTGATCCTAAATCCAACATTGATATCAGTGTCGGCTGATATGGTGGGGCAGAAATCAGCACCAGATGGATCGAATGAGTTGTCTGTGTTGGTGACTGGGAGTCGTGTGTAGTCGTTGGGAACTGATGCCGACAGGCAGTAATCACCCACAACAACATTATTGAATGTGTATGATGGGTTGGTGGCCGTGGTCACTTGAGTGCCAACGACAGTGCCGTTCTTGAACTTGAGTGTGATTGTCGATCCAGCGACCAAATGATCAATCAAAAGCTGGAACTTGTTGTCAAGGTTGTCATCATCGAATGCGAATCCTTTGATCACAACTCTCTTCTTCCTGAATCCAGCATTGAGGATTGTGTCTCGAGAGAGTTTGAAGCAGTAGTCAGGTGCAGCATCAGTGAATGCGTTGTCTGCATTGAACTCTGAGAGTCTGTTGTAGTCGGGTGGCACAGATGCAGAGATACAGTAGTCACCAACGATGACATCCTTGAGTGAGTATGATGGGAAGGATGCCGTGGTGACCTGTGTGGTGACCACAGTGCCATCAGATCTCTTGAGTGTGATGGTGGAACCTGCAACATATGGCTCAGTGGCGGATTGGAATCTCTTGTCATCATTGTCATCATCGAATGTGAATCCTCTGATCTCGAATCTCTTCTTCCTGAATCCAGCATTGACGTCAGTGTCCGACAATAATGTGAAGCAGAAGTCAGAGTTGTCGACATTGAATGAGTTGTCTGTGTTGACCACTGTGAGACGGTTGTAGTCTGATGGCACTGTGGCCGACATGCAGTACTCTCCAACTGGGATATCCTTGAATGAGTATGATGGGTTGGTGGCTTTGGTGATCTGGGTGCCAACAACAGTGCCATCACTCTTCTTCTTGAGTGTGATAGTGGATCCGGCGACTAACTCTTCAGTTGCAGTTTGGAATGTCTTGTCATCATTGAAGTCATCGAATGCGAAGCCCTTGATCTCGAACCTCTTGATCCTGAATCCAACATTGACATCGGTGTCGGCAGACAATGTGAAGCAGAAGTCTGATCCGTCAACGTTGAATGAGTTGTCTGTGTTGACCACACCAAGTCTGTTGTAGTTTGATGGTACTGATGCGGACATGCAATAGTCTCCCACTGGGATATCATTGAATGAGTATGATGGATTGTTGGCCGTTGTGACTTGTGTGTTTACAACAGTGCCCTTCTTCTTGAGGGTGATGGTCGATCCCGCCACCAGAGGATCAGTAGCGGTCTGGAATGAGTCGTCCAGGTTGGCATCATCGAATGAATATCCTTTGATCTTGAACCTCTTCAACTTGAATCCAGCATTGACATTCTTGTCCACGCCACTGGTTGTGAAGCAGAAGTCCGAGTTGTCGACGTTGAATGAGTTGTCTGAGTTAACAACGTCAAGTCGGAGGTAACTTGTTGAAGGGATTGAGGCCGACATGCAGTAGTCCCCAGCTGGCACGTCCTTGAATGAGTATGATGGGTTTGATGTGGTAGATGGCTGTGTGGATACAACTGTGCCATTCTTGTGTTTGAGTATAATGACCGATCCGGCAACAAATGGCTCGGTAGATTGGTATGTGTTGTCAGCATTGTCATCCTGGAACACATAACCTTTGATCTCAGATCTCTTGATCCTGAATCCAACATTGATATCTGTGTCTGCTGAAAAGGTGGAACAGTAATCAGCACCGGATGGATCGAATGCATTGTCAGAGTTGGTGACTGGGAGTCGTGTGTAGTCATTGGGAACTGATGCGGACAGGCAGTAATCACCAACAACAACATTATTGAATGTGTATGATGGGTTGGTGGCCGTGGTCACTTTGGTGTCAACAACAGTTCCATTCCTGTACTTGAGCGCGATGGTAGATCCAGCGACCAAATGATCGATTGAAGGCTGGAATTGGTTATCCAGGTTGTCATCATCGAATGCGAATCCTTTGATCACAACTCTCTTCTTCCTGAATCCAGCATTGAGGATTGTGTCTCGAGAGAGTTTGAAGCAGTAGTCAGGTGCAGCATCAGTGAATGCGTTGTCTGCATTGAACTCTGAGAGTCTGTTGTAGTCGGGTGGCACAGATGCAGAGATACAGTAGTCACCAACGATGACATCCTTGAGTGAGTATGATGGGAAGGATGCCGTGGTGACCTGTGTGGTGACCACAGTGCCATCAGATCTCTTGAGTGTGATGGTGGAACCTGCAACATATGGCTCAGTGGCGGATTGGAATCTCTTGTCATCGTTGTCATCATCGAATGTGAATCCTCTGATCTCGAATCTCTTCTTCCTGAATCCAGCATTGACGTCAGTGTTCGACAATAATGTGAAGCAGAAGTCTGTTCCATCAACATTGAATGAGTTGTCTGTGTTGACAACCGTGAGACGGTTGTAGTCTGATGGCACTGTGGCAGACATGCAGTACTCTCCAACTGGAATATCCTTGAATGAGTATGATGGGTTGGTGGCTGTGGTTACTTGAGTTCCGACAACAGAGCTATCACTCTTCTTCTTCAGTGTAATGGTGGATCCGGCGACCAATGGCTCGGTGGCGGCCTGGAATGACTTGTCATCATTGAAGTCATCGAATGAATAACCCTTGATCTCGAATCTCTTGATCCTGAATCCTGCATTGACATCAGTGTCTGCAGACAATGTGAAGCAGAAGTCAGATCCGTCAACGTTGAATGAGTTGTCTGAGTTGACAACACCAAGTCTGTTGTAGTTCGTTGGTACTGATGCGGACATGCAGTACTCTCCAACTGGGATATCATTGAATGAGTATGATGGGTTGTTGGCTGTTGTAACCTGCGTGGAGACCACAGTGCCATCACTCTTCTTCTTGAGTGTGATTGTCGATCCAGCCACCAGAGGATCAGTGGCAGTTTGGAATGAGTCGTCCAGGTTGGCATCGTCGAATGAATATCCTTTGATCTGGAACCTCTTCAACTTGAATCCAGCATTGACATCCTTGCCTGTTCCACTGGTTGTGAAGCAGAAGTCTGATCCATCAACGTTGAATGAGTTGTCTGAGTTAACAACGTCAAGTCGGAGGTAACTTGTTGATGGGATGGACGCAGACATGCAGTAGTCTCCAGCCGGGACATCAATGAATGAGTATGATGGGTTTGCTGCCATGGATGTCTGTGTGGATACGACTGTGCCATTCTTGAACTTGAGTGTGATGATTGATCCGGCAACAAATGGCTCGGTAGATTGATAAGTGTTGTCAGTATTATCATCCTGGAACACATAACCTTTGATCTCAGATCTCTTGATCCTGAATCCAACATTGATATCAGTGTCCGCTGAAATGGTGGAACAGTAATCAGCACCGGATGGATCGAATGAGTTGTCTGTGTTGGTGACTGAGAGTCGTGTGTAGTCATTTGGCACAGAGGCGGACAGACAGTAATCGCCAACAACAACATTATTGAATGTGTATGATGGGTTGGTGGCTGTGGTCACTTTGGTGTCAACGACAGAGCCATCACTCTTCTTTTTGAGTGTGATAGTGGATCCAGCAACCAAATGATCGATCAAAGGCTGGAATTGATTGTCAATGTTGTCATCATCGAATGCGAATCCTTTGATCACAACTCTCTTCTTCCTGAATCCAGCATTGAGGATTGTGTCTCGAGAGAGTTTGAAGCAGTAGTCAGGTGCAGCATCAGTGAATGCGTTGTCTGCATTGAACTCTGAGAGTCTGTTGTAGTCGGGTGGCACAGAGGCAGAGATGCAATAGTCACCAACGATGACATCCTTGAGTGAGTATGATGGGAAGGATGCCGTGGTGACCTGTGTTGTGACCACAGTGCCATCAGGTCTCTTGAGTGTGATGGTGGAGCCTGCAACATATGGTTCGGTGGCTAACTGGAATCTCTTGTCATCGTTGTCATCATCGAATGTGAATCCTCTGATCTCAAACCTCTTCTTCCTGAATCCAGCATTGACGTCAGTATCAGAAGACAAGGTGAAGCAGAAGTCTGATCCATCAACATTGAATGAGTTGTCTGTGTTGACCACTGTGAGACGGTTGTAGTCTGATGGCACTGTGGCAGACATGCAGTACTCTCCAACTGGAATATCCTTGAATGAGTATGATGGGTTGTTTGCTGTGGTCACTTGAGTGCCAACGACAGTGCCATCGCTCTTCTTCTTCAATGTTATAGTCGATCCAGCAACCAACTCCTCAGTGGCAGACTGGAATGACATATCATCATTGAAGTCATCGAATGAGTAACCTTTGATCGCGAACCTCTTGATCCTGAATCCAGCATTAATATCAGTGTCGGCAGACAATGTGAAGCAGAAGTCAGATCCATCAACGTTGAATGAGTTGTCTGTGTTGACCACACCGAGTCTGTTGTAATTCGTTGGTACTGATGCGGACATGCAATAGTCATTATAAGGTACATCCTTGAATGTGTATGAAGGATTGGTTGCCGTTGTAACCTGCGAGGAGACCACAGTACCATCACTCTTCTTCTTGAGTGTGATGGTCGATCCGGCGACCAAAGGCTCGGTGGCAGTCTGGAAGGTATCATCCAGGTTGTCATCATCAAAGGCGTAACCCTTGATCTGGAACACCTTCCTCCTGAATCCAGCATTGATAAAGGTGTCAGTGGAGAGTGCGAAGCAGTAGTCGTCTCCTGCATCATTGAATGCATTGTCCTTGTTGATGACACCAATGCGATTGAAGCCTGTTGGTATCGAGGCTGAAATACAATATTCAGCCTCCTTCAAAGTGTCGAATGCGTATGATGGGTCCTTGGCCGTGGTGACCTGTGTGCCCACAACAGTGCCATTCTTGAACTTGAGTGTGATGGTTGAGCCGGCCACGTATGGTTCGGTGGTAGGCTGGAAGGTGTTGTCGTTGTTGTCGTCCTCGAATGCATAACCAACCAATCCATGCGTTGGCCTCCTGAAGCCAGCATTGATGATCGTGTCCTTGTTGAGGGTGAAGCAGTAGTCTGAGTTGTCAATGTTGAATGCGTTGTCAGAGTTAATCTGATCAACGCGCAGGTATCCAGTTGGGATCGAGGCGGATATGCAGTAGTCATCATCGTCAAGATTATTGAATCGGTAGCTTGGGTCAGTGGCAGTGGTCACCTGAGTCGCTACCACAGAGTTATCAATCTTCTTCTTGAGTGTAATTGTCGACCCAGCGAGGAAGGCTTCAGATGGTTGGCGTTGTTTGTCCAGGTTCTCATCATCGTATGCATAGCCGCTGACCTGGCGGGGTGGCTTCCTGAAGCCAGCATTGACATCGGTGTCCGCGGAGAGTGTGAAGCAGAAGTCTGTGCCATCGACATTGAATGCATTGTCTGCGTTGGTGACCTCGAGACGGACGTATCCAGTTGGTACAGTGGCCGACATACAGTAGTCACCAGCCTTGTTGCTTGTGAATGAGAATGATGGGTTGGTTGCTGTGGTGACCTGAGTGCCAATGACAGATCCATCACTCTTCTTCTTGAGTGTGATGGTCGAGCCAGCCAACAATGGATCAGTAACCTGGTACTTCTTGTCCAAGTTGGCATCATCATATGAGAATCCTTTGATGGTGAACACCTTCTCTTTGAAACCAGCATTGACATCAGTGTCAGCAGACAAGGTGAAGCAGAAGTCCGAGTTGTCCGCGTTGAACGAGTTGTCTGTGTTGACAACTGTGAGACGGTTGTAGCCAGCTGGGATAGAGGCAGACATGCAGTAGTCCCCAACGACTACATCCTTGAATGTGTACGATGGGTTGGTGGCAGTGGTCACCTGAGTGTCAACCACAGAGCCATCACTCTTCTTCTTGAGTGTGATCGTTGATCCAGGGAGCAACGGATCAGTGGCTGATTGGTATGCCTTGTCATCATTGTCATCATCGAATGTGAATCCTCT